ACATATGATGAAGTGATAATATGTGATATGTAAAATTGTCAATCAGTCAAAAGACTCAAAGTCAATGAGTCAATGGAAAATGATAATTGATTAAAAAAATTTGAATATTTTACGCATCTTATAACTTTAAAAGAAATATTTAGACCTTAAAAATGTTATTGCATACTACTATGCTATGTGTCATTAATTTTGTGTCATTAATGGTGGATATACTGCTGGCAGAGCACAATCAGGAGTCTGGAGTCTCTCACGAGGTACCCACGCAACGTACAAGGTACCCACACACCGCGCATACCAATTCAAACCTTGCTTTACACTTGCTTGCGTGCACCCCCCCCCCTTGCTTGCTGCTTTCCTTTGACTCCCTCGCAGACTCGCGGCTGCCGTGAGCGTCACAACGGCCGCGCCGCGAGCGCGGCCGGCCTGATTATTAGAATCCCGCCTTGCTGAGCTGTCTGGGCCTTGAGAGGCAGGAGCCAGCAATTTATGGTGAGTGAAGCTAGAGTATAGACCTGTATTTTGCATGTTTCAATTCAAGTTTAATTTAGCTAGTAAAAAAATGGCATCATTTATAAAAATAAAAGTGGTCTAAGTTACCCCATTTTACGGTACTGCTCACCTCTGCATGGTAAATACTCAGCAATTCCAAGACGCACAATTAATTATTATTTTGATTATTCCGAGACGCACGAAAATTATTCCGAGACGCACGAAAATTATTCCGAGACGCACGAGTCTATACATAAAGCATCGTTTCTTCATGTATGAACCTTAATATATCTTATTAGGTTGAATTACTATATAAAATGCTCCAAACTTAAAAAAATTATTTATGTCATCAACTTCATATCTAGTCAATGCTATATTTTTTCTGGCACAACGGACTATAATTATTGACAATGAAAAATTTGGGTTATGGCAGCATTTGCCTGCTCCGCAGTGCCCAGCAGCTGAGATGAGAGAAGAACCACGTCTGTCGCTTCATGGTCACACCATCACGCTTCCCCTGCCCTTCAAGTTTTAAACAGCTTTAAGGCTAAAAGTGACTGCTTTACAATGGCTAATATTGAACTTTGAACCTGTCAGCCCTGTCTTGATATTAAATTTTCTAAAATGAATTTCCAATTCAATGTAATTAGTTGAATTTTTTATTAACTCCAGAATTAATTTAAATATTTAAACAATTTTTGGCCTCTAAAATTTTTTCAGGTAGTATCCTACAGCCTAGAGGCTAGAGCTAATCAAATTCATAATATTTTGTACTAGCCTACTAGGAATAGGATGAATGTAATTTTATTATATTAGAATTCGCAATAATATTCATTAGAATATTGGAATGATGAATGGATACTAGTACTACTAGCTAAGTGCTAGACAATATTATTAATTACAATTTACCTGATTTTATACATATGATGAAGTGATAATATGTGATATGTCAAATTGTCAATCAGTCAAAAGACTCAGTCAATGAGTCAATGGAAAATGATAATTGATTAAAAAAAATTTGAATATTTTATGCATCTTATAACTTTAAAATGAATATTTAGACCTTAAAAATGTTGTTGCACACTACTATGCTATGTTTCATTAATTTTGTGTCATTAATGGTGGCTATACTGCTGGCAGAGCACAATCAGGAGTCTGGAGTCTGGACAACCTCTAAAGGAAGGCTAGCAGACTGGCAGTTGTCCCACAGTCCCGCACTCCGGCTGGCATCTTGCCACCTGCTGGTTATCAGTAATTGCTACTTGCTTCAAAGGTAAACACCAACAATATCCTTATTCCAGACCAATTGACAATCAATTTGGCAATTCTTCTTATTCCTATCCATTAATTAAATGAATTTTTCTCCTAAGCTATATAAAAGGCCAGTGAATGAAAGGCTGCTTGTAGCCTCCTTATAATGCATTACAAATGGTTTAATTTGTCTGATGAATTGTAATTTTGATACAATGACAGAATAATTTTTTAATATTGCAAACAATTTTGTATATTGACTAATAATACAAATAATAATAATAATATAGATTAGGTAGAACTGTGCAATCATGAAGCTGAGAGCCTAGTCCTACAGTCCAAAGTCTGCTAGTCAATTAGTGAATAGCGACTTCTATTCTAGTACCTACTTAGTATTAAGAACAATGAATAGTCGGGCTCCATCATTGAAGCTTCTGGACTATAATTCTTCTATTATAATGGTTTAATAATGATATCATTTAATAAAAGTAAATGACAATATAGAGTTAAATGTAAATTTTGTTCAATGTTTGCAGTTTGATGCCTTTGAGTGCTTTGACCGATTTACTTTTTCTATGTGTTACGTATAATAGGTTCGTTGTGCATTGTAAAGTAGCACCGTGTTGTGCAGTGTAAATTTATGTACTTTTGAATTTGCAGGTATGCTGTCACAAGTTGTCCATCTGGCCATCTGGAGGTATATGTAAAAAGTTGGCAAACTGGAGTTGGCCATCGTACGAAGCACCCACGCATCACACTAATTCCGCCCTATGGAGTCCTGGAGCCCACACGAGGTACCCACGCAACGTACAAGGTACCCACACACCACGCATACCCATGCAAACATTGCTGTCCACTTGCTTGCGCGCAACCACCAACCCAATATATAATATATTCACGTCTGTGAATATATTAGGAATCCTTTAAGTATACTTGTATTTGCTGATTTCAAGTGGTAAATAAATTAATAGATGATTAAGTTGAGAAATGGATTTAGACACATGAAAATTAATTCCATCAACTTGAATTGGACACACACAGATCGTTCCAAGCTATGTACAAAAATTAAAATTTGCTTAATTAAAAGCTTAATAGTTGTTAATTAAAAGCATAATTAAGTAGTGTTCAATATTCATTAGTGTTCTAATTCAAAGCCATGTTGTATTCCAATACAGCTCACACAGCAAACGGAATTCGAACACGTGGATGATGCCGACCGCCAAAAATGGATTTCAGATTCGTAATCTACACCCCAAAAAACATATAATTAAAAAAAAACACCCTTTTTTTTGGATGTAGTTAATCTGCAATAATACCCTCCAAAATTCTGGTTGCAGTCCAAGACTGAAGACTAGAGTTTTCCACACTTATTCCTGATGATGGCCAAGTTTAACCCTTTTGCAAGTAAGTTACCATACAATACATGGTAATTAAAATGAGTGTAGAATAAAGGAAAAAATTCATATCTTTTTTCACTTTTATACTTGTATTAGGCTACACTCATTAGTCATTATTGTATGAAAATTTTTGTTCTCTTTTCAACTGTCCAATTTTCATTAAGATCAGAAGAAAAAAATTTGTGCACATACCTAAATAAATGCTTCACAGCTTTTTATAGAGAATTAACAAACAGTAAGTTATTGCAGGAACAATTTAATACAACAAGCGTTAAGTTATAGAATAGAACTGAAATAGACCCCACTAAACGAGTTAGGACTTGAGAGATTTACTTACTTGGTATACTTGATTCCATGCTTTGCTCGATTCTATTTGTTTTAATTCATTCTCAATGACTTCGATCTGACTGAGTTGCGTCATTATGTCTTCTTCTGCGAGACATATCACAGACTGAGGGATTTCGTTCACGATTCACGGAAGCAGTTGACCATTGACACCCGCGTCTAGAGCGCACACATCGGCAAGTGATCAACTAACGGCCATCATACTCTTATAAATATTGATAACAACCTTTAAAAATGAAAATTGGAAAAACAAATCGCTCACTAATTTTTAAACATTCGTAAGTAAATAATTTTAAATTTTATCTCTCTATTTTCTGTACTTGTCTTATATTCTTTATCGTTGTCTCTTTTTTGTTGTTGTTATAGGAACCATTCTCAGAATTTGATAAACATTATTAAATGTAATGCCGTGCTGCAAGATAGAAACCAAGTTTTCATCAGAAACATCCCAGTTTCTCACATGAATTCCACACATACATACAATTTTCTTACCGTGCACGAGGGTCATGTGGATAATGAGTCATTTAATTAAATCACATACTAAAATAAAGAAAGTGTCATGTTTGATTTTAAATCTTCAATAATACATAGAATATTTGATCCAGACATGATAATGATTCTATAACTGCAACTTTTTTTGCATATTTGCTTGCTCACAGAGGTATACGGTATAAAACGCGAATTTCCAGAATTTAAATTTACAATTTCAGCTTTATCGTCGGTTATTTCCCAAATAAAATGAAAATTACCATTGTGCACCATTATCAATTTACAGCAGTTATTATTGGACATCTAATTTTTAGCAGGCGTCAAACATTTAAAATTCGTAGATTTTGCTCAAAGGGCAACAGTTAAAAAGGACAATGATAGGACCTCGTTTCCTTTTGCGACTAACTCGTTGAAAGTCTTCTTATCTTCTACCAGACGTGCATATACAATGTTTTTTGGGTATCGCCCAAGGCTAATCTGAAACACCGCCTTCGACACCTACTATGCAGAGATATGAACTGAGCTGCCCAACGGCTTGAAACCGCGAGTCGACAAGTATTTTTCTTAACCACGGCGCTGAAGTGAAGAAAATAGTTATATCGCCAATATGAATCACAACTATAATTCACACCATAATTGCGATACGTGTACAAATAATTAGATACGTCGTTTCCAGCTTGGAATTATTCACACTTATTTATTATTTAACACGCCTTCCCACGGTCAAGGAGGCAACATAACACAATTTCAAGTAGTTAATGGTCTTCATGAACAGACGCGTGCAGTATTGTCTACAGCAACAAAGAATAAAATTTAACAGTTTTTTAATTGGTTGAAAAACGTTTCGCTTATTTTACACAATTATCGATTACAAAAAAAAGCACGGATTTAATATGTAAACAAATATTAAATCCCTTTTCAAAAAAGAAAAAACGCCATTGAGCACGTAAATTACCGAGGCTACCGCCAGCTTGAAATTAGGCATGCCAACTTTGGCAGTGGATGGAGATGAATGAAACGTTCAACAAGTTACCGTCACTAAACTCACTTTAATCAGGTACAGTTTGCTATGTACAATGCAATTTACATAATTGCACAAAATTTGATAGATTAAATGTTACAACCAAATCCAAAAAAATTATCGGTATATCTTATGAGGGCTATGCCGTACTTGAAAAATCTCAAAATAAGGCGTAATTCGCACTTACCTTGTCTGAAAGAAAATCGCGAATAACATTCGTTTATCTTCCATAGTCAAATCTATGAACAACTGTACAGTTAAACTAGGAAGTTTGTAGGCAAACATTGTAACCAATAAACGCGTTGTCTTATAATGGAAAAGATGTCATAATACGAAACATCAAAGAGTTAACGTTTCGCACAATTATCCAAATTGGGGTTTTTGCTCATTCACCACAGCCACACTCGGAGACACAACACCACAACTGGCAAATGCTATTCACTCTCGACTACCACTAATGAAGATTAGATTCACTATGAATCTTGAGAATCTTCATCCATGGTCAAATCATCTTCCTCTACGTGTGCCGCAGCTCCTCTCCTCGCACCACCAGCACCACCGCCGCTGTTGTTGTTGTTGTTGTTCAAGAAGCGCTGCCAGTTGGGACGTGACCGCTGACGGCCCATCACCAGCTCAAACGGCGACTGCTCTTGGGACTGGAAACCCCGCGTGTGATTCAGCCGAACTGTGCGAATATCAATAATAAATCTCATGTTCACAGCAATGTTAAATTTAATGTGAGACGTACATAGAAGACAAGCAGTTAAAAAACTGATCAGATTTGATAAGCTAATTAATTTTCTTAAGAATCACGGTAAGTTGTAATTCAGATAATAGTTGTAGACCAGTTAGTAAAAACAATCAAAGCCCGAAGACAGCGAATATTAACACTATAATACACGTATATTGAATAGGTACCATTCAGCACGCCTCAAATGCTCATATCGTCTGGCATCATGAAATTTGCCTCCCCACTGTGAGTACATAAGTAAATTTGGTTAATCCTCATAACCAAGATGACAATTCAAAAAAGCATGCAGCTATATTGCCAAGATACAAGGAAGAGTCTTGTTGAAATATTACGGAAACATGCTATGTGTTGGTTCCTTTCACCATCGAAGCAGAACGAAAGATACCTATAACTACAAACACAATCAAGTATTGAATAAATTTGTTTTTATAACTACGGACATCGCGCATCATTTGATAATTCGAATAGTCGAATAGCCGAGAGTCCAAATAAACCAAATATGGCGTGCGTCCCACGCGCGTAGTCAAGTTAGACATTAGTACATTAATTCCTTAGGATTTAATTTTGCGTCTGACTTGGCAACTGATCAAAATATAAGTGATGAAATATCAATAATATTGATAAGTGATGCTGCAAACGCTGCGCGTGTAGAAGAGAAGTGGCTCATGGAACATCAAGCATTCGAAAACCTCAATATCAAGGAAGTATAGTTCCAAGTCCAACAAGCTATTCAGTATACCCCAGACAATTTACGTTTAAATTGACAGAATTGTAAAGATCCCTAGATTTCAAACACTGGGCAGTTCAACCATTTGCGTGAAGTGAATCAAGTTGCAAGCAAGGTTCAAATATCAGTAACTGTAATTACTGACACTGTAGGTGGGGCAAGGCACTAGCCCAAGAAGATGGTTGCAGCGACACCAACTCCTGCAGCGCCTCCATGAGATCATCACTGCTCAGCACAGGCAGCACTTCCGACGCTTCCCGACTTCGCTCGATGAAATTCTCGCAAGAGCCTGGGGGCACGTCATTCAATTATTTTTTACTGCAGTAAATTGGCAGCAGTTAATTACACTTTAAACGAGCAGCAATGCTAATAAGAGGGCATTAAATTTTAATATATTTCCTTCTTTGAGTTTCAGTAATTAAACAGTTTACATGTCCTACCAATTCCTTCAAATCTCAAGAATAGTTCACTGGCAATTATAAGGCTTAACAAAAAACAAACTTTGACGCGATAAAATTGCAAAAACTGGTCCCCAGCGTCAATTATAGGGCCGGGACACCGCGATGAGTATATACGGTATTCAAGCACGCACCATGCCATCTCCTGTCGATCTCCTGCAGCATTTTGTCAAGGAAGTCAGGGCCGCAGTTGGTGACCATGAAGCAAGGCAGGCCAATGACGGACAAGACGCTCCTGATGACGGCTTCTGCGAGGTCCGTGGCGACGGCGCGTGCGGCAGGTATGAGCCACGTGAGGCGGCTGCAGCGGTCGAAGCACTCAACCACGTACTGGTAGCGCCCGTCGGGGTGTTCACTCATGTCCACTACAGTCACCTGTGGTATGGTGACTCATGAGCTAACTTATTAAAAACGTACGATGTGAATATGCCATGTGATAGATAAACAACAAAAACGAACTAATAACGTAAAAACTTATTCACTGAACTTTGAAACCAAGATGAATTACATTCAGTGGTCTCTTCCGGTACAATATAGTTGTCTTTAGAAACAGCATGGGAGCCTTCATCACACTTAGAAGGTGGCTTCATGTATTAGACTAATATATTTGACATCCAATACAGGCATTTATACTTTGATTCAACAACAAGTGGTATAATTCTACTCCTGTGTATAAATAAATACAGCAAACATAGCAAAGGTTAACATATCGCACCTGCAGAGCAGCAAGATTTACGGTGTCGGCAGTGCGGACGGTGACGTCAGGCGTGTTGTTGTCAGACTTGTCCGGGTACTGTACTCCGCAAGTGGGACACATCGAGACAAACTTGTCCACCAGCTGTCGCGGCAGGTACAAGTATTTACGCCGTATCTGTAACCGTAAGAAAGTGACACATTACTACTGCAACATTAGTACAGAACGTATCATTTTGTTCACTTTCACAAGTATTTCTGTTGAGTAAGATCTATGACCGAGCAATAAAATTCATATCCGTACCATAAGCAGTAACAAAAGGAAAATTCAGCAGTACGATCATTACCTCTGCAAACATAGCTTTGGGAGGCGGATGATAACCATTCATGATGTGCAGCTGGTAGAGAATCTTGAAGACTTCTTCCCGTGTAGGAATCAGGCGATAATATTTGTAAAACTCTGCTTCGTGGTCATCACTCTGTGATAATAGATGAAAAAGAGGCGGGTTAGAACTACTAGAAATAAAATTACATACATTGATCAATAATTAGATAATGTTGATTTGAGCAGATATTCTGACTACAAACATCGGCATTATTGTCGTAAGAGATTTTGATCCATTTTACTTGCTGTGATCTGTCTGTCTCTCCACAACTTAAACCTCGACAATAAAGACTGAATAAAACTCAAAGAATTTCCGAATGGAAATTAGTTTACTGAAAATTGATACAAGTGCTTAATTCAAATTAAAAAAAGGATACTTTTTTAGTAATTTCAATGAGTTAAATCCAAGCGACCTTGCAAAGCCATAGTCCGGAAATTGCATAGCCATATTCTAGACCTGCGGTTCCCAACCTTTTTCAGCCTGGCGCCCCCTTTGGCTCCCCAATGAATCTCTAGCGACTCCCCCCCCCCCGACAGACACATACAAAAAACAAACGCTTTTTTCTTGATATTTAGTATGCCGCAATTTGAAAGAAATAGGTTAAACACAAATGTGTATTTCACAACTAGAGCCCCATTTAGTAAAATTCATGACGCCTTGCTTGCACATATTTACGGCCGGACACATGGCTGGTATCGCAGCCGGTCTCACGGCCAATCTCCAAATTCAGTGACCAAGGAATACCTCCCAAACTAATGAACGAAGCTCGATAAAACTTGGAACACGTATTCATTAGGACCTAACGGTGATGTTTTTTAACTCGTGAAAAATTGTTAAATTTCACCTTCATTCGGGAGTTATAAGGCGATACGGGCAGAAATTCGCAGTGATCAATGAATTTCTTCCAAACTACTGAACAGATTCGAACAAAATTTTGAATATAAATTCCTAACTACCAAACGGTAATTTTTAGCTCGTGAAAATTTGTTCGATTCGGAGTCATGTTCTGCATGTGTTGTCTACAATTCGTCAAACAAACGTACGAACTTCTGACTTCGACTTCGCAGACTGTCGCCCCCCTAAACTGCCCCGTTCTTCCTCACCGCCCCCCCCCAGATCTTTCCACCGCCCACTTGGGGGCGATATGGCCCACTTTGGAACCACTGGTCTAGACTTCACACAGCAATAGTCTAGACCTCACACAGCCATACTCTAGACTTTTCGACGTCAAAAAACAGCACACAATTCGATTTAAGATCTTGACGTGCGAATTCAAGAGCCAGTAACGCGTTCTTCATCATTCGTATAAGGCAAGATATGCATCGTGAAGGTAGAATAAAAAAATGCAGTAGTGAAAATATAAATTATTGTGATTAACTGACAAATTCGGCAATAATAAATGAAAGAAATTAACGCTGCAGAAGCTCAATCTAGACAAATACCGAAGTGTTGGAGATTATAACCAAAATTATTTAGCTGTAACATGAATGAGAGGAGAAGTGGGCCTGAATACCTCGAGTTCCCCCGACCCTTCCTACCTTGAGGACGAGCTCGAAGTTCTTCAGAGGCGCCTCTGGAGCCACATTAATGGCTCTGTTCTCCTCGTCCTGGAATCATATTCAATTGTTAACTATAAGCATGCAATATTTTATAGTTCTCCTTACTTTAATTAGCAACCATGGAATCGGTGAAAATTATATTATAAATCATAAATTAATTAGGATAAAATCATCAATGAGATTGTGTTAATTTTTTCAATTTCTGAATATTACCAAGTCCTATGAACGAATTGACTATATTAAAGCAAAAGAACAATAAACGAATTCCGAGCTCATCAAGTAGTTAAGTATTATAAATGTTTGACTTGGTAGCAAACAGCACACAAATTCTGAAAACATTAATATAGAATGATTTTTGATGTGGCAATCTGGAAATTCGAACTCCAGCAATGATAGCCCAGAGAAAATATCTATGGCTTGAACTCGCTTCAGGAAAAATGTACAAAATCATTGATTTATTGTTGGCAGCTCTGCAAATGGTCTAATGGAACTGTCACTGGTGTGCCCTGTCGTTGAGAACTTCATTAGAGGCGAAATGACTAAAATAACTATACTCATTAGAAGCCATACTGCCTACATAACTACACATTAGAGGCAAAATGACTAACATAACTACTCATTAGCGGCTATACTGCCTACATAACTACACATTAGAGGCAAAATGACTAACATAACTACTCATTAGCAGCTATACTGCCTACATAACTACTCATTAGCGGCTATACTGCCTACATAACTACTCATTAGCGGCTATACTGCCTACATAACTACTCATTAGCAGCTATACTGCCTACATAACTACTCATTAGCGGCTATACTGCCTACATAACTACTCATTAGCAGCTATACTGCCTACATAACTACTCATTAGCGGCTATACTGCCTACATAACTACTCATTAGCAGCTATACTGCCTACATAACTACTCATTAGCGGCTATACTGCCTACATAACTACTCATTAGCAGCTATACTGCCTACATAACTACTCATTAGCGGCTATACTGCCTACATAACTACTCATTAGCAGCTATACTGCCTACATAACTACTCATTAGCGGCTATACTGCCTACATAACTACTCATTAGCAGCTATACTGCCTACATAACTACTCATTAGCGGCTATACTGCCTACATAACTACTCATTAGCAGCTATACTGCCTACATAACTACTCATTAGCGGCTATACTGCCTACATAACTACTCATTAGCAGCTATACTGCCTACATAACTACTCATTAGCGGCTATACTGCCTACATAACTACTCATTAGCAGCTATACTGCCTACATAACTACTCATTAGCGGCTATACTGCCTACATAACTACTCATTAGCAGCTATACTGCCTACATAACTACTCATTAGCGGCTATACTGCCTACATAACTACTCATTAGCAGCTATACTGNCACTGACGTTGACATAACACTAAACCACTGACGTTGACATAACACTAAACCACTGACGTTGACATAACACTAAGCCACTGACGTTGACATAACACTAATCCACTGACGTTGACATAGCTGGTCAGTGGCAGGACGAGGACGTTGAAGAGGCCCAGCTGCTCGCAGGAGATCACCTTCACGCCACGGAAACGCACCCAATATTTCAAAGACTTGTCTTCTATATCCATTTTCAATCTGCTCACAAAAAAGGATTGATTAATAAATAATATCCAGCATTGTGGAATATAGTATAATAAACTATCATACATCTATACTAATATAATAATATCCAACCAGTGACAGTTGAAACTCAATAGCATAAATACCAATAGTTCAGTAAAAATGAACAAATTTTAAATAAATAATAAATTTTTGAAATAATGGAAATTTTCAAGCCAGGTGCCCACGAGACAAAATAGGGAACGAGTTTTTGTTTTTCACATGGAGCCGCCACATTAAATGAAGTCAATGAACTCAATACAGGCCAACTTGGAAATTACTAAAACGTTCATGACAACCTGAAGCAACAGTACAGACAGGTGAGCGGACAGAACAAGTTTGCAAACCTGGTATGGTTGTAGATAAGACATTTCTTCCTCTCAGTTAACACGTTGTTGTTGGTGCGGCCGCTCTTCGAGTAAGTGTTGACAGCATAGTCGTTGAAGGAGTCTTCCCAGTGCCGTATCTCGTCCCTGTTTAATTCGATACCAATCTTGCAATTATCCAATACCAATAGCTTTATGAGGTGGGTTGAAATAAGAGTATCAACATCAGAAATGTCCAGTTAAGTTCATAAAAAGTTATAAAAGTTCAGTTAAGTTCATTAAATGTCCAGTTAAGTTCATAAAAGTTCAGTTAAGTTCATAAAAGTTCCGTTAAGTTCATAAAAGTTCAGTTAAGTTCATAAAAGTTCAGTTAAGTTCATAAAAGTTCAGTTAAATTCATAAAAGTTCATAAAAGTTGTTATTACCGCCATTACCGCCAAATCGGACTTTCAAGTTGCCTTTAAAAAACACCGGTTTTCTAATTATTTCTTGTTTTCTTTCATTTTTTCGAAAAATTCACACGAACAAAAAAGTCTTAGATCTATTTTTTACATATGTGTACCAAGTTTCAAAGTTATCTGTCTGTAAATAACCGAAATAAAATTTCCAATTTCCAATGGCAATTTCCAATTTCTTGTGGAAATTTTATTTCGGTTATTTACAGAAGGATCCCTTTGAAACTTGGTACACAAATGTGAAAGATAAATCTAAGACTTTTTTGTTCGTGTAAATTTTTTGAAAAAAGTGAAAGAAAACGTGAAATTCTTAGAAAACGGCCAAAAAGAGGGTACCACTGTAGAAATCTATCTCCTCCTAGGATTTTCAAGCTACAACATCGAGACGCATATCATTCGACGCGTAAGGACCATATCTATCGATTGGTTCTCGCTGTTTTTCGAAATTCTCATTTTTGTGGCTGAGGTGGGCATTTTCCAAAAAAAATTTGATTTCCCTCACCACCCTTTCGAATTCCCCCCCCCCTTTTCAAAATATTTTCAAAACTATAACGAAAATAAAAAAAAGCTACGACCAATCTCTAGATCTTTTATTTGCAAATCGAACGGCATATCTCTCATTGCTGTAGATTGAAAATTCTAGGAGGAGATAGGTTTGCAGTGACAATACGCGCGAATGTTCAGGAGAGCGCGGCAAAGTCCCGAGCGCCTCGAAATAGGCATTCAAGGTGGCATGGATACAAGACTAGACGTTACTGGAGCTGAAATTCAGTCAAGGACGGTGGGAACGACTGCATGAGCACCATCCCCCACGACAGCAGCCAGGTAACTTAAGATCAGCGTCTACAGGTCGTCTATTTATGTGCCCGGCCGTTAATTTTCGCCTATCCTAAATGTGAAAGAACTCCCCCACCCTTAACCCTTTCGCGAACTGTCGTCAAGGCATAAAGCAACGTACAGAGATGATTTTGATACCGTTGGATAGGCCAGAATGTCAGCTTTAAGGTGAGACTAAAAACCGGAAAAGTGAAATTTGCGATTTCTGACCCAGAAATTCGGGCGGTTAAGGGTTATGATCATAAAAGTTCAGTTAAGTTCATAAAAGTTCAGTTGTGTTCCTAAAAGTTCAGTTAAGTTTCTAAAAGTTCAGTTAAGTTCATAAAACGAGATAATTTTTGACGGAGTAACACGTCACGACTTAATTAGGCATGCAATGATGAACAAACTTCAAGCAATTTACCGATTATCCTCTGGAATCCAGGCATCAGGAACACGATGGTCGTCCATGACCTCAGGCAAGTGATACTCAGCAGTATCCTTCCTCTTGTGGAGCATTTTGAAGTGTCGCGCGACATGGACATTAACTCTCTTCTTCTGACGCGCGACGAAGTCACAGAAGAGACAATGGTAATGTCCTGCATCCTGATGCTGGTCGCCACAGAAGAGCTTGCACAGCAGCACCATGATGTTGTCCATCCAGAAGGCGGGCTTCACGTGACACCGGCTGATGTGCGCCAGCAGGCGACGTTCGCTGATGTAGTCTTTGTCGCTGTTGCAGAGGTAGCAGTGAGGCAGACGCGCGGCAGCAAGCACTGCTTCCTCGCCATTATTGATGCCTGGCACCTTGCGTACCGGTAAACCTCGGTACCTGCAACAGTCATCATTGTAAACTTTGATTCTAATTTCACCTTCATTGTAATGTATTGCCAATCAAAGGATATTATCATGCTTTGGATAGTTGTTGAAAAAAAAATGGAATGCACCAATTTTGAATTAATAATCTTTGACTAACCAAATTGAAGAGAAATTCTTGAAAAACATAGATTTGCTAGAGATGAATTCAATCATTAAATAAATTGATACAAGATTTGCTGAAGCTCACCGTTCATGCCATGGAACAGCAGGAGGGTTTTCTCGCTGCACGTTGCTAGCAGCGTCCTCTGGCTCTGGCAAAATGAAATTGACAGAGGGGCCAGCCGTGTCTCCACCCTCACTTTTAAACGTGCCTTCAGCCTTCATCTTGTTGACGAGCGCGGCGACGTAGCCCTCGCGTCGATGAGACTCAAGATGGATCCAGTAGGCGCAGCGGCGCGGATCGCGGTAGTGGCAGAAGGGGCAGTGGTAGTGACGGGAGTTGGAGCCCCCAGGGAGGCAGTCCAGGCCACACTGGATGAGGTAGCAGCTGCCACAATCCACTGCGCGGTTCAGATGTGCCATGCGGAAGTGGCGCTCAAGACGAGGCATTGCATAGAAAACCTTGCGGTCGTGACAGAGGTAGCAAAAAGGCAGGCACAGACGGTCGAATAGTTCAGCTGGCCCTTGACTGCTTATACTCGCATGCGCGATGAAAGGTACGCCGTGGAATTCAAACCTGGGGTAAATTTACCCAAATTGTACAGAGTACACTGGAAGCTGGGTAATAATTATTTAAGGTAAAAAATACAGCTCATGAATTATAAAATGTAAATTACACTGACTAAGGAAATTTACTAAAGTGAAACACTTTAATGCTAGACCTTTATTTCACAATATATTGAAGTGAGGTGGATAATTTTTCATTGATGCAGATAAAATATTTTAGTTAAAAGACCGTTTCTTACCTTTTTTTAGGAGGAGGAAAATCCAAATCCTTTAGAATGAGCGACTTTTTGAGCCTTGAATAAGGGTTTGCTTTATTGGCAGGAGACAAATAATTGTTTTTGAAACCCATATGGAAGTAGTCAAGATGTTTCTTGAAGTGAGTCAGCATTCTGTGTTTGGCTTTGACAGTTGCTTCACAGCCAGGATAAGGACAATGGTAGTGAGAGAGGTTTGCATTGTTGCCTTCTTCAGGGCTCTGGCTACACGTGAGCTTGCATGAGGCCACAAAGAAGTTAGCAAGCTTGATGTGGTGGCCAAGATGGACGCTTTTGAAATGACGGTAAAGACGTGACTTGGGTTTGAGGTCAATGTCTTCACAGAGATAACAGTATGGGGGCTCCAGTCTCTGGATGAGCTCTTCACTGCTGTGAGCAACTGATAGTTTCTCTGATGGCTGCTGCAACAGCTCCATGAATTTGCTGCGGCCTTCTTCATCCATTTCATTCTTGTACATATCCTGCACGCCCTCTAGCGTCTCACTAATCTTGGCAGGTCGCACCTCTGGCATCTCATCCTCCTCACCAAAGATTGAACTCAGGATCTTGTTGTCAAGGTCACATACAAAGCTTGCATCTTCAAACTCACTTGGTTCTCTGCAAAACATTTGACTTTTAGATTTCACATTCATAATCACAAACAATTTCATTTCAAACAAAAACACAAAATATTTTTACATGAATGTGTTTCCAAAAATAAAAGCAACTTGACCAAACATAATAGGTATATTCAAATGATGAATAAAATATCTCAAAACAGTACTCATGCACAATTTCAAGAACTAAATACAAACTACCAGTAACTTTCATGTCTTAAAGAGTTACTGAGCATCAATATCAGGGTCAGCAAACTTTACAATTCAAGCCTTCATAGGATGTTTAAATCTAAATAATTCCTCCTTAATGCTCACTCACAAATAAACAGGGACAAAAATTAAATTTTTATGGGTATTCTTATAAAAAAATAGATAAATTTATATACCAAATGAATTGCATGTTGTATTCTGTACATGTCTGAATATATTAAAAAAACTGGTACCAGTAGTCATTACTGATATAAAGTTGTAAAGAAAAAAGTTTACCTACATGTAGAAAATTTGAACCGTTTCAAAATATAACACAGCCTATCATGATAAAGAATTTATAGGAAATTAGATTAAATATAACCAATGTGCTAATTAAAAGACCCCCTTTGACTCTTACAAATTCATTGCTGTCTTGAGTTATGGTAGGTCTTCAATTAAAACCCCTGATAATTATGGAATAATGGTGATAAAAATATAAGTCACACTCTAACATGTTATGAAATTCAGAAAGGTAGGTATGCAATACTTACTCTTTGATCTTCAAGCTGATAGCAGCATGATTGACCTGCTTGAGTGCAGCATCAACCTGATCAGAATCAGTGATGTGGTTGAGGGTGAAGTGCATCTGCAGTCGGTGAGTGTGCTTGCATGAAAAGAGACACTCAGCATGAGGGCAATGGTAATGGGAGTCTTTTTTGCACCCCAGCTTGCAGACCAATATAAGCTTGTTTGCCAACACAGTACTGTGATCGATGTGAGTTTTTACAAAGTGCTGATGCAGACGTGAACTCCATTGAAAACTTTGATCAGCACATAAGTAGCACTGAGAAGACTCCTTTAAGCGGTTCAAGAACTCTTCTTTGCTGTCTCCAATTGAAGGATGGACTATTGCAGAGTATTGCTCTTCAACTTCCTCTATCATGAAATAGTCACTGTTGTTTTCACAAGGGTCAACAGTGACAATGTAGTCATGCTCAGGCTCCTCCTTGATGATGTGCTCAACATGTTCATGAGCTTCTATCACAGTGAGAGTTTCATGGAGCTCCTCTGAGAGCTCCCCGGCAGAGATGGAGATCACGTGGGCCATCTTTCAACCCTGGAAAAAAATCAACGTTTATTTTCAATGGCAATTGCATTAGTCTAGGATCCTGTCTGAAACAACTAAAAGAAAATCAAAATCCTCAAAAGATATCTTGCTTCAAAAAATTTTGAAACAATCATCTAATTTTCACATTTTTACTGAAAAACAGTTCTACAAGAAAAATTTATTCAAACAAATGAATCATTCAAGCTGAATAAAAAATGAGACCCCAGGACCAACAATAGAAGGGTGAGGCAAATTTCATACTGGAAGAAAGTAAGCAAATATTCAAAGATCTTTAGCATATCAATAATCACATAGGATATCACTGGGTAAAAGTCCAAACTTGTAAAAAGTAAAAAAATTGGAGACTAAATTAGTAATTGCTGTGATTTCAATACCTAATGCTCAATTCGTTAATTACAACATAAAAATTGTATGGTGGTTTGGATCTGAGTCATCTGACTGGAAAGTTCTGCTTCAATTATAATGATGAAATACATAATTACATTGTTTCTAATGGAGGTAGCTCAGGTAGGAAATAGGGGCTAATGTGATACAAGTAATTTAAAACAATTTTATATACTATATAGACCAAAAAAATAACCTATTTAGTTTTATATAGATAAAAAAATTAGCTTATTTGTGAACAGACATGAAATAAGTTACTTCTTTAAGTTCTTTTTACCTGCAATTCAAGCTTTTCTGCCATTTCTTGAGCTGCAAGTCCACTATGAGATTTTTGCTAAAAATTAGCCTAGAATATTATAGCGCCAAAATATAAAATTAGGCAGCAGCCTACAACCAACAACATATGAATGAGAGCAAAAAATAGGCTGTGCTCATTGTCTATTTCACCCATCCCTAAGGCTATAGTATAAGTTATAGCCCTTAAGTCTTAACTAATGTTGAAAATTGAGTGGAAGATTGAGTAGAAAAAAAGCCTTCTGTCTGTGAATGCAACAAAACAAAGCTAATGCATACTGATAATTTAACCTCCAATCTTTCTGCCACAATTTTTTTAAATTCTTTTATTATTCCAGAGCTGTTAATTTAGGAGTAATGATTCTAGCAGCTTGAGTACCTAATTACTCCTTAAGTCCTTATCTACTTGTAAACCATTCTGGAGTCTGGACTAAATAGACAGTCTAAGACAGACACCACTTTTGAGTTATAAAACTGTAAAGACATTAGACAGCACAGAGAAGTTGTGAATAACAAAAATGCCCATGTTTGTGGTTAATTTTACTAATTTCTATAGTATAGCTCATGCAGCTTGCCTTACTTCTTTTTTTAATTGGAATTGCTAGCCTAACCCTTTTTTTGCCAGAAAATTTTTAAAATCACCTGTAGGCCTACTGTCACTGTGTCAGTCTGTGTGAAACTGTAGCCCATAGTGGCAAACCAGTAATTTTTTAGAATCAGTTCATTTTTTAATTTCCTCATTCACTCAAGATTTTAAGATTTCTTATGTATGATAATTCTGGTATCCAAGATACTTCACTGGTCTACTTATAGGACTCAAAATCAAAAATGAACTTGAGAAAGAGTCCTAAAAAACTCTCTGCTTTGCCACTATGCTGTAGCCTACCTAGTCAGAAAACATTTTACCCAAATCTCTTTAAATTTTTCAAAAAAGGTTTTATCAGCAGAAGTTACAATTCATTAAAAATACAAGACTATTGAGCTGCAAAAAAGAATTAAGTAGGCCTAGCTAAATCTTGCACAATGAACACAATACAAACAATATGATTAAATGATGTCTGTCATTGTCTGATGTCATGAAATGAAAATAAAGGTACTAGCACTACTAGGTATTAGTATTATGCACCTCGTTGGAAATTATATATGTAATGAACAGTTAAACCATTTTGCGCACTTACCGTAAACTTGACTCTATAATTAACATCAAACCCCAGTGATATTTTTTCAAAGGCCGGCGTTCTCCGGAGGACCTATCGAATTTGAAATGAATTGAATTTCTTCTCATTTTGGTTAGCAACAAAGTTCGATTCATTCCAACATAATAATCAAGATGAAAACAATATCATGATAAGATTGACTACCTACACCCCATAAGTGGCATAACGTTAGAAATAACATTTGCGATTTTTTAAGCTCTACGTATCAAAATAGCGAGCGTAAATATAAACGAATTCCTGTTACACTCACCACACGGCAAGGAGCACCAGACGTTCTCACAAGAAGTGCAAGTCAGGCGTTTCAGTTTCTGAAATTAGAAAAACATGTATCATTTATACTTCAGTTAATAGGTAGCAATTACGATTGAAATAAACTTCAATTGTAATTTAGATAGTTTCATTAAAGAATTCAGTCCATTTCAAAACTGAGTTTGTAAAAATGTCCCAAACTTTTCGTCGCACTTCACGCTGCAGCTAACTTGGACCATGTCTGAAAGAAAATGGCGGAACGTAAACTGATGACGTAATTTTCAAAGCAAATATGGAACAATCATTTGAGTTATAATTACTCACAATTCCAATTGATTCACTATATAATATTTCTGTTATAAATACTAGCCTTTGATAAATTTCTGCATATACGTACGCCGTTAGCATCACTCAATGTACCTTATACCTGGAGCAGTAGAACCTATTTGTTGACGCTGAAGAGCGAACGGTGTGTACAGAATCCAAATCAATTCGAGCATATAGGTATATTGTCTCAGTAACTTAAATTAAAAATATATTAAATTACCTATTACACTTGGTTTAATTTCTCCGTCTCTATACTAAATGCTTCCAGAGTAAAAAAATCGGGTTTCCCTTATGATAACGGAAGCTTTTTAGTATATAGGTTCTAGACCATTTGAATACTGTTTTATGCGATAACTTGTACTTAAAGTCCGATATGAAGGGTAAAATATGCTTTAAATTATTTTTAATGATAAACACTAATAATTTTCAAGTATATGGGTATCTCCTTATCCCTTAATAAATAAAAATAATTGAGCGATGTAACATCCAACACCAACACCACAAACTGAATCACACAACTTTCTCTTGCCTCAATGAGTTATAGTTATATTTAATACAATGCAATTATGGAGTGTAAAATGTTGATATTGATTGTTATATTATTTCTAAAATACATTGAATATGCGAACGAAGAATTTTATGAAGCGTTGAAACCCTCGGGATTTGGTACAACTCTGTTGATTTACTTGTTAACGTTGTTTTTAAATCTATTTTTTAACTTAAATTTCATTTTAGCATGTACGACACATAATGTTTGCGACAATTCTATCGCATAACACTCATTAGGGAGAATTTTGTTATTATTTTGATTCTATTTTCTTTTGCTATGAGGAAGGAATTTCCAATAGGCAATAGCACTTAAAGTAGCATGTTAAAATTTTTCATGAACTTGCTAAAAGTTCTCTGATAATTAAGTTGTCTTGTCATTCATATCAACTGGGAAGGCGTTTGCAATAATTTTAACACAAAATCAATTTACTATAATCTTCTCAGAGATCTTAAATTATTCCATAACTAATTAAAAAATTTCGGCCAATATTAACTGCAAGTTTTACGAAAAACAACAGTATTGTTACCTATATTTAAGAATACAAACAGAAACAATACAAGAAAATACTTCGTATCATAGAGCGATCGATGCTAGCGAGTCGGCACAGAATTTGTGGTAAACACTACGCGCAGTGGGGTGATTTGTGGTCTTATGGGGTGATTTGAGGTCTTGTGGGGTGATTTGTGGTCTTGTGGGGTGATTTGTGGTCTTGTGGGGTGATTTGAGGTCTTGTGGGGTGATTTGAGGTCTTGTGGGGTGATTTGAGGTCTTGTGGGGTGATTTGAGGTCTTGTGAAGAATCACGTACATGACGGAGGGTATCAACGAATTTCAGAGATTATGTAGCACATCCGGCATTAACATTTACATATGTTAGAAGATACCAAAACAACCTCTATATATCTTAATGGCACGTTATATCTGCATAATATGTTTTGGTTTTGATTTTATACCCGTGACAATATTCAGCCGTCAACGATATGCTCTCTAATGTGTAGCTTTATGTCTCAACTGCACGGCTCTCTCTTGCTCTCTCTTTGGCAGTCTCGGTAGCTGCTCTTTCCCACTGACCGGCCAATGCGCGCGCGTCACATGACTCTCTCAGTGCACTTCGATCTTTGGTGGATGACGGACAGTGACACTCGCGGAGCAGTGGCATCTGAAGCGGTTTGAAATCAATTTGGTCATACAAAGCAGTATTATACGAAAAAATATGATAAATGGGTGTGCCAAAGTATTAGAATTGAGAAATTTTTGGAGTGTCATTATGGCAAATAATCTTATGTTTTTTTTTGTCACATCAATATATTTTATATCCAGTCTCACGCAAATTATTTAAATATTTAAACGGAATATTTATTTGTACATTTTTGTTAGGCTCAAAATTCCATGATTTCTTTTACGTGCCATAATTAAAATGCCCATTCAACATCTACTAAATCGAAACCATGAATAATTTTATTCACACCAAAATTAATGTTGTGGATTAAATTTTTTCATTTATAATACGAATCAGTGTAAATTATCGTAGACGGACTTCCATGGGTTCCATGTCGAGAAGCAGAACTAAAGAGCAGCGTTTGTTTAGGAGTTCGTCATAAACAGCCGTGCGAGCAGCGGCACGAGCTGTCGTGTCGTTTACAAGCCTTAAAACTACGTTATGATTTCCATACATCATCCGAGGTATGAAATTTGACTCATATTCAGAGGAACCAGTTGAATCTTGACAATCTGAGAATAACTACAGATCTGGTAACGGATCTTACGACTAACCATTCTAAAGAATGTACTTCATTAGAAGGATGATTATCATGCGACGATAGCTATAAATTCTAAGGCGACACCGAATATATAAATATATAATACAATATAAAATAAACATCTTGGATGTTAATAATGTATCTATCGCAAGCCACCAAATTTGAAAATAGTGATAACTATGATACACATAGCATATGTTTTTATCGCTTCACTACTCAAATTCTAACATTCCTGCTTCATCTGCTTTAGAAATTCCAGCTACACTCCTCTATTTCTAAGCTCTATTTATTATTTCTATGTATATATATTTCTTATTTAGTATTCCATCTGATTCCCGCGACACATTAATATAACCCGCGTTGGGAAAGAGGCCAGTGTCGATGGCTTGGATAGCCCTAGCACTGGTCTGATGTAAGGCTGTGTTGAAGTGATGCGTGAGGTGAACGAGTGGTGGTCGCTAGTGATATGTTATTTTCGATCAGGATAGAATTTAACAAAGCCTCATACATGCATACGTGTTCTCAATACCTAATTTGACTACATTTAATATTAGAAGCATGAGCAAAATTTACAGAAATTAAATGAACTGTAGTGCGAACGGAACACGAGTAACTCTTCTTTGCATGGAGCGTTCTGTCTCATTCAGAGCCTGTGTTTAAATTCATGCGACACTGAGTAAATTCAAATCTAGTTCAATCTTATGTCAGTTTCTCATGTATGAACATGTTATGTTATGTTAAATTGAATCTTCTAAAAAGTTATTATTAAAATCTTGGTTCTTTGAGGGGTTGCATATTTATGGGCTTATGGATTCAAGATGTTCGTTATTATTTTTGCACTACGCGTTGATTTTGGTAATTACAAAATTTGTGTAGTCTCTCATGAATCATGCTGGTTTAAGAATACGTATTTGGAGGGGGGAGGGGGGAGTAGAACCGATGCATGCCGGTTATAAGCCGGTTGCATGCCGGTTGTATACGTGTTACAGAACCGATGTTCGGATATCTCCTGTAGGCTTTAGAGCGTGAGACGCGACATCTGTGCGATAAGATGTCGATAATTGGCCTCAGTCCCATACTGCAGATATTCTAGAGTATTATAACTAACATCCACACAACGAAACACCAATTAGCAAAGTTTATTACGAAATTGTAAACTCAAAGTAGTTACGAAATGTTTGAATGGAAACCATTTTTTGGCAACACAATGTTATTTCTTAATATTATTTGGTATGAAAATGATATCACTCGTTAAGCACTCATCATGAGTACAATACTGAGAAGAATTATGCCAAAAAGGGATGTCAAGTTATTTGTACATACGAGCACATTCAACAAGATAGAATGAGACGAAAGTCCGTTATAGAGTCGACATCTGTAGGAAGCTTAGTCATCAAAGCAAAACAAAAACGCTTTTCGAACAAATAATAAAATAGAACTGCTAAAATTTATATATAATCCCCGGATTCCCAAACACAAAAACATTTCATATTTCCTTACTTTTCCCCTGACAGTAACAGATCTAACTTCATTTATGAAACTTGAATTACCTTTAGTTTATGTACGAGTTGTTACAGAAATATTATATAGTTTATTACAATTAACTGGGCTGGACGGAGAATGGAAGGGCAATGCAGCACAGTGCTGGTGACGGGGGGTGCGGGGTATGCTGGCTCACACACGGTGCTGGTGCTGCTGCAGTGGGGCTACCAGGTCGTGGTGGTCGACAACTGCACTAACTGCGCAGCACCAACTGCACCAGACGCGCTGCCTCCTTCATTGCTCCAGGTATCAACACTGCCCCCTTCTGGGACCGTATTATTATAACTCGTTTAAGTACACGTACTTAGTACTCGTGGCGAATAAAGTACACGTAGCGGACCTAGTACACGTAGCGGGTTAGGTACCCGTACCAGCCTATGTACACGTAGCGTCTTAAGTACACGTAGCGGCTTTAAGTAAACGTACTGGCCTAAATATACGTAGCGGCTTAAGTACACGTTTCGGCCAAACTATTTTTGATATAACGCGGCCCCAGTTCAATGGCTTCTTGATAATTTATCTATGTTTGCTGCTTCTATGATGGCCTTTGTCAGTTCAGCTTGTCTGTAATTGCAAATTTCCTTATTCTGTGCTAGCGAATATAGTTCTTGCTTAATTTCCATGAAGATAATTGAAGAAGGCTGGTGATAATGTTAACCTAATCTCAAAATTTCTAGCGAAGTAAGTATTTTGATAATTAATAGGTGATAAGTAATGACAAAAAAAATTTAAGGTGCTTCAGAAATATGCCTTTTTTCAACGCGATATTTTTTCAAATTTTTTTTATTATATTGTTAACTATTCGGGCAAATTCAGTAATCAATGATGATTAATCCCTCCTTCCTGTTCCTGAAGGTGAAGGACATCTGCCAGAAAGCGCCTGTGTTCTACCAGGCCGCCCTAGACGACGGTCCCGCCTTGCTGTCGATTTTCAAAAAAGTAGGTAATTACAACAATGCACTTCTTTTGTGCATTTATTATTGTTTTCTTGATTGTGTTACATTAATTTTAATTGCGATGAATCAACCTGCCTCGAATAGGTTGAAAAAGTCCACCAGGGTCAGCGCACGAGCTAAAGAGGAGCTGTCAATCATTTTTCCTTGGCAACCTGTACCTGTATGGCATTAGCTCTGTATTGTCGCTTAGTTTCCTTCTTTCATGCATTTTTACTGAGGTGCATTGATTATTTTTTTGGGTTACTTATTTTAACAGAGAGCCGCTAGAGCGACCCTAGACAGCAGCACACAGTTTTATTTTTATTATAGGCATTCAGGATAACGGGATTAAGGATAACGTGAATCTGGATAACGGGATTCAAGATAACAGTATTGCAGAGTTCACCCATCCTGGGCAACGCCAGGCTAATTAATTAGCTAATATTTTATAAAGTTGCGAAGTAATTTAAAAAAGTTTCTGGCTCGTGGGAGTTGTCACTATGACATAGCATGCACAAGCTATAATAGCTATATTTTCGCTTGTAATTTTCAGCACAAAATAGATGCAGTGATTCACTTCGCAGCTCTGAAGGCCGTGGGTGAGAGTGTACAGAAACCTCTCATGTACTACCACAACAACCTGCTCGCTACCATCAGCCTGCTGGAGGTGAGAGTGTACAGAAACCTCTCATGTACTACCACAACAACCTGCTCGCTACCATCAGCCTGCTGGAGGTGAGAGTGTACAGAAACCTCTCGTGTACAGATGCCCGATAGCAAGCGTGCGGCTCCCGCTATGGCTACGCAGATTTTCATTAAATTTATGCCTCACAATTGGTTGGTATCATTGTCATTCCCTCCTTATCGATTAATATCAGCTTTCTGTCGATTTATATCATCATTCTATCGATTAATGTAGGGTAATTAGCGGAAACTTCCTGGTTTGAAAGCTCAATAAAAAAAGATCTAGTAAAGATATCATTAAAATATCAATTTTATTGAAAAAGACATTACCTGTATTTTTGTGAGGCAGGCGCAACTCCTCACGGAGATGAGGCGCCATACAATATATTGTCTCAGACAGAGACTACTCTGCAAAACGGCAAACGCACGCTGCTCACTTGTCCAATGCATAGTGGCAACTGACTAGGCGGGACTCACAACTTCATGACCTTCCCTTTCATATGAAATACTCTCGGCTTTTTTCCTACAATATATTACTACTTTGCGCGAAATACACAACAGGAAGTTTCCGTGAATCACCCTGCACTATCATCCTATCGCATAATAAGCGTTGTTGGCCAGGCCATGGAGGCGGCAGGCGTACGACGCTTGGTGTTCTCATCCTCTGCGACGGTATACGGGATACCGCAGTACCTGCCTATAGACGAGGACCATCCTGTGGGACAGAGCATCACCAACCCTTACGGCCACACCAAGCACATGTGCGAACAGATCCTCAGGGACATCGTCCAGTCGAACAATGTGGGCTAGTAACCAAATGTGTGTGGTTTTCTGCATATTAGTGAAATATTATGATAGTGTTTGGCACGGTGATGATATGCTCTACTTTTCGTACTTTTGGTAGTTAAAGCTGGCTTGGCATTTACATGGTAATACAGATTATGATATCGGCATTCTAGAAAACTGGATTTTCCAATCTCAGGAAACGCTAGCTTTCCCTGCTACTATCATATTAATCTAATAATAAAGTCAGCCTACACTACATTAATCATGTCAGTGGCACCGAAAATATATTAATGTTAGCGGTGATATACAGTATTGATCTAATTTCTAGTTTTATCCACGTTTGTGTGATTTTTTTTCTCACCACCAAGGTGACGTCAGCATTTACTTCATGTCTTATGTTTACGTTTGTTTGCACGGGCACAGGACTGGAAGGTTATCCTGCTGCGATATTTTAACCCCGTCGGTGCCCACGAGTCCGGCAAGATGGGCGAGGACCCCATCGGCGTCCCCAACAACCTGATGCCCTTCATCGCGCAGGTCGCCGTGGGCCGGCGGGAGAAGCTTAGTATTTTTGGCAACGATTTCGACACCGATGATGGCACGGGTTCGTGGCCAAACTTTCCTTAATTTTATACACTGGAATATATTTCTTAAGCATCACAGGACATCGGGATTCAAATTCAATATTCCATTTTTTTTTTGTTTTTTTTTCTGACTTCAATTTTTGTTTATTCGAAAAATTTTGTTTTTCTGAATTCGAAACAAATTTTCTGCCGACAATTGTTTCGAAGTTTGTTCCTAAACTTGTGGAGACGTATAGTTTAATTTCAGTTGCGAAATACGCAGACTTTCAACATATCGCTTAAATATAGGTCTACGGAGTTTACTGCGAGCATTTAAGTAACTTCGAGCTCCGGCCAATCAGGTACTTCCATTTAAGAGGCGTCTCTTTGCAATTATATTGAAATATTTTCATAAGTATACATCAAGTGCATTCACAAAATTTACCCTCTGATCAAAGATTTTGACTAGATTTTGCTGATGAAACGTTAAATCAACATTATTTCAATGTCAAATGCACCGCATTCATAATAATACCAATTTTCATACCAGCGTATTAATGTAGAGATTCAAATTCATATAGAGATTCTGCGGATTTTGAGAAAACTCATTCAATAAGTTCATTCAATATTGCATCAAATCATTGAAATATCATGTGAGATGTCAAGTGCATCACAATGCCACGCAGTACACGTGCATCACAATGTCACGCAGTACACGTACATTACAATGTCACGCAGTATACGTGCATCACAATGTCACGCAGTATACGTGCATCACAATGTCACGCAGTATCTTGGTAATCTTGGTATTTGTTTGGGACATAGCAGTCCCAGGCCGAGATGGATCGCCGCCTCTGATTATCGTTCATCCGCCCTCATTTGGGCCACCTGATGCACGATGCTGCTGCTTGCTTCTCGCCGCTGGTAGTGTTGCAGGGGAGGTCGATCTGGGATTGTGCCCAGGAAAACGTCCAGTTGTCTCTTGAAGGTCTCCAGGGTGAACTCCCCCTCTCTTAGATCCCTTGTTAGGACGTTAATGCACGCATTATACGTGCAATATACATGCAGTATACGTGCAGTATACGTGCAGTATACATGCAGTATACGTGCAGTATACGTGCAGGCGTGCGTGATTACATCCACGTGATGGACCTGGCTGAGGGCCACGTGTCCACGCTGCGCAGGCTGCTGAGCGACGACTTCCGGGGCTGCCGCGCGTACAACCTGGGCACCGGCGTAGGCGTCTCTGTCATGCAGATGCTACAAGCTTTCCAGAAGTGAGTCACTGTCTTTTGTGGGTCACAAGTGATTATTTTTACTATTCCTCGAAGTTATTTGTCGAAATTAATCCCGTAGAAGTAATATTTTTATTACTCCTTGAAGTTATTTCCGTCAAAGTTGACGAATAGGGACCGATTGCACTTCATAACTTTTGTGTTTCGTCAATTTTTCACGCGCATTTTGTCGAACCTTTCTGTCCTCAAAAGATGATGTTGAAAATTATCGGCATTCATTGGCGTTAATAACAATAAAAATATTACTGTGAAAGACATTTCGAAAGCATCAGATAAAAATACTATAAAATATGCGTTCTTAATACATTAGTTTGTAATATCCTGCACTGTGAAGGTCGTGTGGGCGGAGCCTACCGTACGAGGTGGTCGCCCGACGTGCGGGAGACTGCGCCCGCATGCTGGCCTCCTGCACCCGCGCCCGCACCGAGCTGGGGTGGACCGCGACCCGGACACTGCAGGACATGTGTGAGTGGCAGGACACTGCAGGACATGTGTGAGTGGCAGGACATGTGTGAGTGGCAGGACATGTGTGAGTGGCAGGACATGTGTGAGTGGCAGGACATGTGTGAGTGGCACAACATGTGTGAAAGGCAGGACACTACAGGAGATGTATATGATTTAGACATGATGTAGGAAAGTTGCCTTAATTGAGTACGGAATTGAACGCACGCTAAGAAAATAACTTATATCTAAGAAAATCTGTACTTACATTATAAATAGAAATTAATACAAGTTTATTCATGAGAGATTTTAGGGTTTGAAAGGATGTTCTCCTTTCTCCATTTATCACTCACGCATATATTTTCATGAGATTCATTACATATTTCCGGTTTATGTTCTCCCTGCAGGCGACGACACCTGGCGGTGGCAGTCGAGTCACCCCAACGGGTACGCGACGAGTTGAGAGGCTGGCGTGACTTAGATAAATTATTTGTACAGTAGAGTAGACGCGGGTTCAACTTCTCAAATGTATCATGTGTCTTTGCGTGGATGTATTTATTTCCGTTGTATAGTAAGGGGAAAAAAAGCAATGAAGCGCCGTGTGCTCATCACTGCCAAGCTGCTCCTAATGTTCTGTAGCGTTTATATATGAGTTATTGTATATGTCAATGAGCGCTACAATCAAGTCGCATATTTTAAGCGCATTTTCACATTTCTGGAAAAAGGCGCTATTTTCTTCGTCATCTCCGTCTGTCTGTCCGTCCGTCTGTCCGTGACTTCACGTTTTCGTCGACGAGAAAATACGCTCTCTTGTCACTCACTGCAGGGAGTATTGAGTTATATTTTATTAGGAATGGGCCGAAGGTCATGTGGTTGAGAAATACCTGTATTGTGGACGATCACAACTTATTATCAGTGTTTCGATAGTACATATGGCAGAGACTCTGACGCTGGATTTTCACAGCCACTGCATCGTCTCGTCCTTTTCGTTGCAGCAATCAAGAATGCGACCAATGCGGCTTCAGCAACCGCATAAATCAACTCTAGCAATTGTCATCAGCTAGATTCGTTGACAAATTTGTGGTGGTTAGCGTCAATAGTTACGACAGGCTGCAGGTTATAGGAAATCGTCCAGTGAATGAAGATTAGCTCATTCGCACATAAAAGTTGTGGCATCAAAGTGACTCGGCATCCAAACGCCATTCTATCTTCAACCACATTTTCAAACAAAGCACATCCATAATACGAATGCAAGTAGTATGGTACAACTTTTATGTTAAAGCGTCCCTTTGCACCTCCAATAGTATTTTGAATTCGCGAGCTTAGCAAATAAAGAACGACGATCTATTGACGGATGTCACAGGTTGAGGATGACAGCACGCCGCTTATTCTGTTTAAATTTACCGAAGGGTACAGATGGGTTTATTAATATTGACAATCTTTATGTGACATTTCTAGATCATCTTCTTGTATTTGTATGAATAAGTTCCCATATTCCCATTTGTGATAAATGCAAATAATATTTATTATAGATTTTTCTTTCGTTTTGAAACCCGGAAAATTTCATTGGACCATACCATGTATGCGGTTTTGTTAAAATTGCTCATTCGTTTATTTCTTTATTCTCTTTATCTTCAGTATTTTAAGTTCGGTGCTTCATCAAGCCATGACAGAACACTAAAATAAAATAGAAATATTACCGACTATATAAATATTGTTTTTATGTTGTATAATATAAATGAGAAAGATGTATATTACAACGTTGTTCTGGGTTGATTGTTTCGGATTCATGTGCGGGATTTATATTGTTACCGAAATTCTTTCCATATATCTGATGGACGTTGTATTAAAATAAAGCTCTAATAGATGCAATTTCCTAATTATTCCCCGAAATAAAATATTGTGCTGATTCCAACTTTTTTGAACTTAAGGTTATCAAAACAGTTGTAAATTCATAAGTTTTGAATAAAGAAATCAATAAAATAAATTTTACAAAACTTCAAGAGACTGCATCAAGGCGGTCAGCCGCGATAGTCGCCTATAACGTTGCTTAACTATGAATTCGTTCAATAAATCCCCTCATAAATTATATACAAGTCTGAAATTTGGAATGTTATCCTGGCTAATTATTTTAAGATTAATATTTGTAAACTTTTTATTTCAACTGTTATCAGGAAGGATAAAATTTTGCTCCCGATGTTCGTAAAGCGCGCGACTTTTCTACCATTTTCTCGACGTCCGCAGGTTTCACTATTTGTTCTTCATTGATTGCTATACCATGAAATTCTGAATCAAAATTCATTGTAGTAGATGAAAGTCAATTCACGTGAAAATTTCTGTGAAACTTCCGTATATTACCACGCGATTTCTGCTTCGAGTATCCTACAGTGAAAGAGCCAAGGCATGCACAGTGGTTTATGAGCGAACAGCAAAGCTCATAAATTAATTGCCAGTCGCTGTCAAGTGGTTTCAGCCCCTCCTCCTCCTCCCCCCGGACCATGAGTGGCCAGCGGTCGGGCATAGCATGTCAGCGCCGGCCTCCCTATGGTTATTCACCGGCCACCTGAAAGCCTCCCCTTGCCTCAAGAACAATATTCCTGAGGCATGGGCGTGTTAGCCACATTTATGTCGTTGAAGTGACTACGGGGCCAGGGGCTGGTGATGGCCGATTTCATACGCGAGCTCTAAATTATAGCGATTTACCGGTCCTAGGGAACTGTGAGTGGCAGGACCCACTGTGAGTGCAGCACTATGATGCAGAATCTTAACTACGGGTACCCACACAGTGAAAGCAGGTAGCCAGAGTGCTAGTTACCTGCTTAATCTGGCGCCTAAAATTGAAATAAATAGGCCTGGCGCTGGCCTATTCGTACAGGTTTCCACTGTGAACACTTACATTATTATCCTATGTTCATTCTTGTGGCAGGTTGACCGCGCGGGCAAACCTGATTTCACTGTCTAGGTACCCTACGACTTACTTATTCACAGAAAAGTGGCTTCACAGCCTACAAAATTTGGAGTAATTGAAGTCCATTCAGAATATACATATTAGTAATTGCATGTGGCGTTTTGAGTAAAAGAATACTGATGATGAAAAGTTTCTGCAGGGCTAACTAATAAAAATTCGTAGTGATGCAACATTCAGGATTTTGCATAATGTACTTGGGTTAAACATTGTCTGTAACGTCTGAAATTGTATTGTAATCACTGATTTTATTTATTAATTCATTTATTTTTTGATAATGCATTAATTTATGACAATTATTTAATACCAGATGTTGTTGGATTCTAGAGAGATGGAGGAAAACCAGTTGATAGTCAGCAGAGCGAGGTTCAGCAATTGTCACAGACCGATGAAACACTAACTTTGATACGAGGATATTAGAATTTATGCGTCTATCTCTTTATTTTATTGTCATTAATTTAGTTACATAATAAAAACGAATTGAACATTTGTGGTTTGGAGCTCAAATCCAGATAATTCAACTCATTTGTGCACCAACAACCCTGATTCGTATTACACCCGAACACCCGACACAACCGATTAAAATCTGCATGTGTCCAGCTTAAAGTTAATAATTACTTAGAAGAAGAGTGAATGTAGGACCACTTCATTGCAAAATGTACAGTTCGTAAAGTAATGTCAACTAAACAACTCCAATTAACCACGCGCAGAATACGTTAGTCTGACCTCAGTTGCAAGTTTTCTCCAGCAAGGTGAGCAACTGTATAGTTATATGGTCATGAATAAGGTTGTTCAAGATAAGATAACTATAATATTGTTGGTGCCACGACAGGTACTTTAAGTTGGACGGACCTGGGTGACCACAGCGCTGGTATCCCAGGCGAAAAATAGAAAACTAATAAAATCCCCTCCCCGAACCTTTTTAACTAAATAACATGACATCTACCCTAACAGTCAATCAATAACTCCGTCAACTTCAACAGTTTTACATAGAAGGAAACTACCTTCTTTTACCAGCTTTTCGCTCCGAGGTGTCCTGACCGCAGCTTCCCGTGAGGTATTTTCAAATCGCATGGAAATAATGCCGTGGATTGAGATAATGGGAAGGACAAAACACAGTTACCGGCCTGCTGATCACTACATCTAAATGCGCATAAAATTGTGCCTTCAACGTCTGTAAAATTATTTTATTGTATACTCTTTGTGTTACATACCGTAGATTAGCATATTATCATTATCACTACGTACTTAGATCAAAGATAATCTATTAAAAACAAACCAAATGAACTTTGAATCATTGTTTGTTGTATACAAATAAAATAATTAAAAACACGTTAAACAGAGATGACATGCTATGGAGAAAAATTTATGTACATATAAATGAGAAAATCAGAAGGATTTATGCCAAATGAGAAATTCAGATTTTAATAAAATTGTTTCCAACAATAACCGCTTTTCACGTAGTGAGGCAGTAATAACTCGCACTGGCACCGCTGAATGCCATTTCTCTGAATCAAAGACTGCAATTTAGAAGTGTTAAAAGGGTAGCAACAAAGCAAAATTTCAATTTATGACCATATATACGATCTAGGTAGAAGATTTAAATATGATTTTATTTTTTCTGAGCTATAGAAACAAGAATAATCTTAACGAAAGCTCCGGAAGCACGTATTTTCTCAGAACATAGAAATTGTATTATTTACACGCAAATAGTATTGGAACTAGGACGTCTGCCCCTCGTGCTGCCATTTTGGATTTTCTGTGTTTTAACATGTAATTAGGATGTGCTTACGTACATGCAGATGCTAATTTATAGCAAAATTAAAAGCAAATGATTAAATGGATGCCTCATCTATTATCACGCAAGTGTCACGAGATGAGGACAATGTGAATTCATACCCTCCACCCGATAGAGGTTCGTGTCGCAATTTCATCAATTTTTGGGCATTTATCGAGCCTTCAAACACTGGTTTTGGAAATAAATGAGATTTATTGTATTCTGATTGATCATTACGGAAATAAAATTATTTCAAGCATTCTTTGATCATTAATACCCGCAGAGTTATCTGGACTTGAATGATGTAGGTATGCAAAAATAGGTCGTTCACGGTTCGTAAGACTTAACTTGAGATGAGGAATGTAGTTCTCACTTCAACTTCTCAGTTTCATGTTTTCTCCTAAATTTTCATGCATAAAAAAAATTAGTTCTATTAAGAGCTAGTAACTGAAGGAATTTGCTGATTTGACTCTTGAGTCTTGAGTGACTTTTGCTAATTTAAAGTTTAGGTATTTGTAGTATATTAAAACCGTACTAATGCTGAACTCCATTTGCCTCGAGGCTTGATAAAATCATAAAAATGTCTTGTTGCTTAACCTTGAACTGTAAATATAAACATTTGCAGGAATTAACATAAAGGAAAATAAGTTATCATTATCATGTTGCAAACTTTCAATACAATACTCAGGAAATTTTGAATATTGGGCAGACTGCCTTACAAGTTACAGTTTTAAGGAACACTTGTTACAGGAGTGGATTTTGAAAAAAATTAATAGTGTGTTGTTTTTATTTAATTTCCCTGATCAAAATTCAGGGTGCATAGAGTAAGCTAATATCAAATGATTTTTTCAAGACCTGTCACTTACTGTCCAACACCAATCTGCAGTATTGGGCAAAACTTTTCTAAAATTGCAGATAAAATTAATTGTTTCATGGTAATGTTTGAAAATTTCTGGAAAAATGTTGGGATAACAGTATAAGTCCAAAAATCGGAATCCAAAATTCCCAAAATTTGGGCATTTTGGGTCGTTTGTCAGGCCGGGCCGGGCAAATTCTATAAAAATTTTTGTACGGGCAATGGTATTTTGTAGAAACTTCTTTGTCTTGCTTATGTGTACATCTTTACATATTATAATTTGATTTCAGGAAACGGTACTGGCGTCAGTAGCGGCAATAGTAGCAGTGGTGCCAAGAAGACGAGTAACTGTAGTGGCCGCAGCAGCAACTCGGGAAGTAGTAATAATTTTTTGAAGCAACTTTTCACCTGCTGCTGGCGCAGCAGCAGTGGTGAAGAAAATGATGACTGCCCAGCAAACGGCAGTGCCCCAAGTGCTAATGCAGCAAGTACAACTGCTGCCAATGGAGCTAATGGAGCTTGTCTTCCTGAAGACAGCTCTGCCTATGCCCTACCAGCCACCACACACCTCTTACCTCCCGTGCAGGAACGAGATATTAACAAGAAATGCATGGTTATTGACTTGGATGAGACATTGGTTCACTCTTCATTCAAGGTGAACACCTAACTAATTCTACCTATTTGTATAACTTTGAAGCACAAGCCCTGTATTATTTTTTAGGTTTTCTAGAGTCCATTCTAACCACTCTTGATACAATCCAATAGTTATTACGATATTATCTTAATATATAATAATTTTTTTCAATCTAAAGACTTGCTGTTTTTATTTCAGCCAATCAGCAATGCAGATTTTGTAGTACCAGTAGAAATAGATGGCACAGTCCACCAAGTGTATGTACTCAAGCGGCCAAATGTGGATGATTTCCTGCAGAAGATGGGTGATCTCTATGAGTGTGTCCTCTTCACTGCAAGTTTGGCTAAGGTAACTGAGCTTCCTCTTCACAAAATTTTGTTGCTATTAAAGGATATTAGTTAGTTCATGAAACACAGAAACAGTGATGCATATTAAGTGCATTCAAATTTTTTCAATCTACACAAATCTTGGGAAGTAAAAGTTATTGTTTGTAAAGATAGATGACTAGTTATCTATCTTTTCTTTCTGAACTCTGGACTTAAATTCATTAGTGCTTTCTATGAGGCTTCTACAACAACTTCAATGTTATTGCCACAGCTTGAATGTAAGAAATATACTATTATTGTTTTAAAATATATTTCATTGTTGTTTGTACAGACTTGCATATAATTCTGCGCTTGATAATAAATAATTGAATATTTCAGTACGCTGACCCAGTGGCTGACTTGCTTGACAAATGGGGTGTCTTCCGAGCTCGTCTCTTCCGCGAGTCGTGCGTGTTCCATCGAGGCAATTATGTTAAGGACCTCAGCAGATTGGGGAGAGAACTTCATCGCGTTGTCATTATGGACAACAGCCCAGCTTCCTACATCTTCCATCCAGATAACGCGGTTGGTCTTATTCCCTTCTTCCCTGATGCAAAAGTTGTACTTATTGCTATTGTAAATTTATTTTTCAACTCATTATGTAGCACACATAATTTTATTCTGCATGGTTAGTTTCTACGAATTTTTTATAACTTTCCTCAATGTGGTCTTGAATTTGAATATGTATTTCTCATCAAATTACTGGCAAAGTTCATAAAGTTATTTGCTTAATGTATGTAATTTATTCACTTAAATTTGTGACGGAATGACTAACAACATAACATGAAATGCATGCAAGAAGCACACAAATACCAGTATTTGTTGTTATGGAAGGTTAATGTATTATTCATCATGTATAGAGGAAAAAACATTTGAGTTAAATTAGTAAGCCTAGCATTAGGTGTGAGTTGTCTGTGCCGTGTTGAGCATCCCAGCATAAGAGCAGTTCACTCCCAACACTACATGCAACCACGAGCAATGGGTGCCTTACTGAAGTTTATATATATTAGCTTGACCAATCGAAACGACGACTATTGGCTGGGTGTGGGCGTTAATGAATAGACACATTTGAGTTGAATTGCCATGCAACCATTGTGTGAAATACAAGACTGTACAAAGTAAGCCATCAAATGCTTTTGATTTAAGCTCTTCCTTACATTACAATGAGATGTTCACAAGTACCTAGTATAGTTGAACGCATGTGAATTGCAAATTATATCCAGTGGTGTGCTTGTTATGTAGTTTGCTCCAAAATTGCTTGCTTCACTATGACTTTTCTTGAATCTTTGGCATACATAATACATTGACAAATAATTTTACTTAAGCGTTGCTTGACCAAGAGTCCAGGATTTACAATAATTTCTCTCTTTAGCCAGGATTTATTGAACTCAAGTTCCAGGGTACTCATATTGCTTGAGGAGTATTTCCTTGCTCGCCTGAGGATGATGCATAAAATTTCGGTTAATGCACCTCAGTCTTTAAGAAACCTACCAAGTCTTGATGAATAGTTGTGTATGACTTTCACACGATTGAGTTAACTTTGCATAAATTGGCTGCCGAATCTCTCAATTTTTATTCAATAAAAAGTGCCCTGTGTGAACATGTTTAGCAACTTTCCATAAATTATCTATTACAGTCATCAGTTAGCACGCACCAAATAAACATCCTATCCTATGGGTAACCATGTTTAAATATTGTTGGCAAATTTGGTAAATGCTCTTGTCTTGTGACATGAATATTTTATCTGATATTTATGACAAGATAAATTATTTTTGGTTGTTAATTGAAACATCATGTTTACAAGCTAACCCATTAAATTTCCCCAATTATGTACTTTAATACTGTCTGCTTTTGTTCATGTCTCTGCAACCTGCAAATGACCTGTTAACAGCTATCTCATGTTTCTATAAAAAAATTGATAAGAAAATCTATCTGTCAATCCTGATAATTGGTATCTTAATCAAGATAATCCAATGACATGCAAAGGCACTAAGTTTAAAGAAAAACTTATGCGTTATTTACGTAATTATTGCCGAGTGGTTAGCCAGAGGGAAATAGTTGATTTAGTTAGGTCAGTATGAGCAATTTCATCACCAGCAGTACTATTTGGTCATTATTGTCAAGGCTATAAGAGAATTTATTCAGTTAAAATGAGCATTCCATTTTTCAATCAGTACGGGAAAGCAAAGTTAGGGTCGTTAAAAAAGAGCTTTTTAACGACCCTAATTTTCCATCTTGCATTAGCAAATTGACTCCAAAGCTTATACTGACATCATCTAACATTGCATGGTGATGCAATTCCCCATATTTTCATTCGCAAATTTCAAACTTCTTGTAGATAAATGAAAATTTTGTAGTGTTATTTTGTTAACTACGAGCTTGCCTTCTTTCTCAGCCAGTTTCACTTGCGCTGATGAATCGCTCGAGCGTACAGATCGGGGAGGTAAGGACAACTTGCACTTGCCAACTGCGCGTGCTCTTCATTCTTTGCCAGTGCCAATGTGCTCTTCTCCATGCGTGATTAGAGATCCATTAGGGACACTATTTAAGCCCTAAACCCGTCGGAAAAACACATCAGTAAGATTTAAAAAAAATTTACTTTCTGCGCAGCTGTAAAAACTGAAACGTCATAGCCTTTGAAATTTCTTTGGCAGTAGCAGAGCACGGTTTGGTATTTTAATGCTAACTCATCATGAGTTTGCAGATAATATTTGGCTTGCGTGTGCCAGCACTCATTTTCCTAAACGCCTAGGCGCACTCAACAGACTTCAATTGTTTCGAATCTCACGTGTTAGTATCACGAGGGTCGAATTGTTCTGTCCCAACTGTGCTAAATTGAGAATTTAAGTTTTGCGATGGTATTCAAAATTCGTTTGAGACTTCCTTCTATTTTGGTGTACAACAGTACAAAACATTTACTTGCCCCGCCAACGTGCATCAAACTACTTTGTATGACATTAACAAAGCATCAAGAAGTAATACATTTTCTTCCTAATAAACATATATTTAAAACATCTGGTGCAATTGCTGCGCTGCATTAAATTGAGAAACGTGTAGCATGGTTTATTGACGGGAATATTTCTTCCTATTTGTGCTGCCATATTTTCTCACTATCCTTGACACATGCGTGGTGTTCTCAGGTGCCTGTGTCGTCGTGGTTTGACGACATGACGGACACGGAGCTGTTGGATCTCATTCCCTTCCTGGAGACGCTGAGCCATGTGGACAGCGTGTACGGCGTCTTGCGTGGCTGCTCACCTCACGTGCCCCTGCAGCAGTTGTCTGGCAACTCAGCGTCCGCTGTACACAACGACGGCTCCTCGAACAGCGACAGCTCCCAGCCAACCAACAACAACTCAATGATGTCCGAGCCTGTGTCGCCCATATCTCAATTGCACCGGCCTGACAGCGACATAAGCGTCACCTGAACCTGCTGCCTTTGCTAGCTCCTTTTTTACCGCCATTTGTATTGTGTGCAGTGCATCCATAGTTAGTCACTTGGTGATGTGTGTTGCAGTGATGGACATAGTGACGACTTGTCATCATCAGTCAAGTGTAGCTGTCATTAAAGTTGGAGCTATTTTGCAGTTCTTGTGTGATGAAAGTTACTAATGTGTAGTGTGGAGAAACTTTCTAGTTATCAAGGACTCAAAATTTTATCTGAAGACCTCCTCCTGGGCCGCTCTATAAACTTCTTCCCGGGCCCTGCTGTGTGAACACGGACTTCATCAAACTTTCCTTGTCTGTGCCAATACTGAAGAACTGTGCTAAGCATGGCGTGATGCTCTGTAATGCAATCTTCTGCCCACATAGTGGAGACCTTGAGTTCTCGTTTGTTGATCTTTTAATTTGCTGAGCTGCGTTGAAATTGCATCCTCTATTACTTTGGTGATTGTGGTCCTGCAGATACTAAACCTGTGTTCTCGCAGTGACCTAGGGCGCAACGGATGAGGAAGTCAACAGATGGAATCTCTGGTTAGTCATCGTGTAGGGCGCGGCGGCATATTTTGTGTGCAATCTTATACGTTTTTCCTGCTGGCTTGTTTATCCTCATAGTTTTCAGGCATCATGGGACGGCTTTCCAGTAACAATCCGGCTTGTTGGACTATCTTTGACGTGAACTATCCGGAACGCATTTCTATCAGCGTTGACCGATTACTATTAAGTTTACTGTTGTCCTTGTTAATCCTAATAGCGCTTGGGTCGTTACTGGCAAACCGGCTTGGGCATAGCATGTCTACTCAAGTAACGACCCTCATTAAACCCTACATGCTACTCTACTCAACTTCTAATTCTTTGATACTAAGATTACTTTTTTTTTACTTTTCCTCAGAAGTGAAACCTGCAATTTTTATGAGATTAATCTCTGTTGATGAAAGCAATAAACGGTGTAAAATGCCAAATTAGTAACGTTAGTTGATCGCTATTGACGCGACAGGCTGGAAGAACTCACGTTGTTTTCAATGTGTCCTAAATATTTTATGCTATTTTTCCATTTTTGAAGCGTGATCTAATCTAAGATTAGTAGCTATTGTTATTTCCTGAGAATGGTCTATAAAATTATTATATATATGTATATATCATGCGTGTGTTCGCCGCTATTGCTGCTTGCCATGCATTGTCTTGCGTGCCTCTTCTCTCCTAATCGTCATCAACGTCCGCGCCTGGTTCTTGTTTAAGTAGCCCCCCTGGTGTGAACTGAAAGATTTCTCACTTCGAATTGTGAGTGCTACGAGTTATAACTTCAACATGATGTTTCCATTATATAGGCACAAACCTGATGCTGAACAGTGACTGAGACTGATCTACTAGACGAAGAATCAAGCCTCCGACGTCGCCGATGAGGCTTTGTATTGTGCATTGACGATTATTCATGTTCCCTTGTCTTGCTGCAGCTACCTACTAGCCCAGGTTACCTTGCTTCATCAGCTTTAACCTATAAATTTTCACCTGCAAATTGTCCGTAAGCCTACTTTTGACACTATCAGGGCATCTAATGAATTTATTGCAAAACTGCGTTACACTTACGACGTCTTCACTGATATCGTTTTGCTGTGTACCATGTATCTGCTGTGGTCCAGATATGAATTTGCTTGTACTTGTAGTTTGCTGATAAAATTCTGCTGTGTATTAATGAATTCGTTGCAAAAAGTTACCTTTTTGTGCCTGAAGCGTGATTGTAAATGCTCATGAAATTATATGTTTTATCAAAATACCTCGACCGTTTTTTACTGTGGTGACAATCGGATGTGACATTCGTGAATTGGCTGACTTTTTGTAGTACCTATGTATGATTCGTGTTAGGTTTGAGTTATGAGCATTATTTCGGTGCTCAAGGCAAGACCTGCTTTGGAATTTCTGCTGTTTCTAGATTTTACCACGTCCGCATTTATTTTTCGGCATAATTCAATGTGAATATTGAAGCGCGATGAACTTCTTAGAGATTTCGTTTCAGTATCGCTAAAAACAATTTTTACTTGTATCCATAGAACCCTGCGCCATTTAATGCTATACTACAGGAAGTTTTTCTTCCGCTCTTGATCAGTTGCAACAACGGTCGCTTGCAGGTTGTTGTTATGTCTCGGAAGTATCTCCTGGTTGCCAAATTTGTGTTTCATCATTACTCCTAAGCTGTTGACAGTTTTAGTATTTCACTCTTGTCAAGAGTTACATAGTAGCTTCGATTCCATGTCAGGACTCAATCATTTCTTTCTTCTGTCTTGCCTAAAGGTGCGACGTTGCCGCGTTACGAGCAAGGCGATTGTGAGGACAATCTCAGGTTAAATTACTCTTCATAAGCTTCGGGTAGCTAGAATACCTATCATTTATTCAAAGTTGATTGTTTTTGTGAGAAATATGCTCTGTTGAGGTACCATGTTGCTCGTGAATATAGGAGCTTTATTGCGCGCGATCAACCATTGATCAATAAGCGCCTCAGAGATACAGTTAATTGGAATGTTGTCCGTAATACCAATATTTGCAGAAGTATATATTACTTGCATAGGCATATCTGACAGCTTAATTTGCCGACGTGTATTAGTGACACAGTAATTTTCAGACGTATAGAAGCGACACCTTCATTTGCATTTGTATCAGCACTATATTTATTTGCAAAGGTGCTAGCTGTTCCGTTAGTATCACACGTTTCGCTGACACGATTAATTACTGCGGAGGCTATGTTCTTCATTGCTCAGGCAAAACTGCAAGCTGAAATATTGTAGCATCTCTTGAGAGCTTGCGCTGTCACCTCATTCCGTGCCTTGCTTCTGAGCTTTGATATAGTTTACTCCTTCATTTTAACCTCGTTCAATTTTATGTAGAATCTTCAACCTTGAATTTAGGAAGTCAACTCTAAGTTATTATCATGGATGGGTGGTAAGACTGTTGCATTAAAGAGGGGTGTGTTAGAGAGAGGGGGGTAACGTATTACGAAGTAAATATTTTATTTTTTTTTTCTTCATGTACAGATGAATTATGTTCAAATCATTACAAATTGGAAACGATTGACCTAGTCGGTTTGGACATGCCATGTTTTAGTAATCAGTTTTTTTTTTTTGTTTATATACGGTGATTGCTTAACTGAAAATTCTCTATTCTGCAAGTTTCCATTTTTGGGCTACATGATAATTCATTCAAATTCCTGGCCCTGGGCCACGAATAGGCATACAATTTTTGTAATAAAAATGTACGAGTACGTTCTTGTTGGGTATTTTTAGACACTGTAGATTTGTTGCGATATGTCATTGATGTTTTAGTCTTATTGGAGTTGTAACTTTGCCGTACTTTGGTTTATTTCTGCCACTTTCAATAGTCATGTGGAATTATTGCGTCATTCAAGTGTTTCATGATCATGCCTGTTGGATTATTATTTTTCCATGGACATTATGTTGCCTTTCTCAACATGCATATCTAAAGTAATGATCAAGCGGTTGAATAGGAATTATTGTTAAGTTTTTTTATAATAACATCCTTATAAAGGCAACGTAGGGTATGACTGGCCTACGTTAATCAGAATATTTTAATGCAATTTTCAGGATTTTCTTGTCTTCTCTATATTTGCAGAATCAATTGACCATTTAATTTCTTAACTGACTTCTATGGCTAGGTATAAACCGAGTGTTGTTCTATTTGTATAGTGATGCTTGTTGACGGACGAATCGACATTCATTGCTAGTGGTAGATCATGCTCAGGCGTGTGAATGTACGTTCCGGCAGTTGCTTGGATCACATCTGACGCTAGCAGTGAAATGCTTCTATGAATTTCTGTGAAATGTTGAATGTTTTCGTGTCGGCTAATTCGTCCTTGCGGAATTGAAGAGCATGTAGAAGCATCGTTTGGGTGCATCATGGCTTCAATTTTTAGGTCTCTGAACGCGCTTCGTGGGAAGCTGAATTATTGCATGCCTTCCATGTCATGTCCTCTTATTATAGGGGCCATCAAAAGCTAGTTTTCTCGAGGCTTCCTTATTGTAAAAAATGACGTCGAACGAAGAAAGCTCAGTGATCTGTCTTGCTGTCATCATGCTTTGTGATATATCACAGCCCTCCGGTTGTTGTCTGACTATAACTGGCATGGCACGTGGAGTCTTCTTCACCGTTACGTTGAAATATGTTTTCTTTCTTAATATTTCCCCTGTTTAATACTGTAAATAAACTGCCTCTCACGGCAGACCCGCTCACCCTAATGCTCTCCCTAGTTTGCGTCCGTGCTTGGGAAATGCTACAAGCTCCACTTCCAAAGTGTTTTAAGTTTGCTTCTAGAATGAATTTCTCACATTAGGACTAAGAACGCATCACTACAAGTTCTGAGTGAAGAACGAAACTAGGGAGAGCCTCGAGGTGGATCGCAAGTGGCCTTAATATTGTTATAGATTTATATCCTAATAAGAATAGTATATAGAACGCTTTTGGTGTCGCTTCACTGACCTCAGTCTGTGTATACTGCCTCTTCTAAAGAGGCCTCTCGGGTCCTAGGCTTCAGGGTTCCCCATCAAATGCTTCTCTTGTTTTTGTTTCTCCTCATATCCACTCGCCTTTAACGCTCTTTCTGTCCCATGTTGAGCCTTAGCAGTCCACTATAATATACAATCGCTGATTTTTCGCGCGCTAGTCTACCGATCGCGAAATTTGATTCACCGTACAACTAAAGCCAAGCTCAAATGTTTACTATCTCCTAACGATGGTGCCACTCATTTGTCTGCAATGTTAGTATACCATATCAGTAATTGAATGCGAGTAAAATGATGGGTTGACTTAGCGCTCGTCTTGTTTATGGAAAGAGGTCAACTTCGCAGAGGCTACACGCGAGTAGAAGTTCTTTTTTTGTTTTCATTTTTTTCAGTGGAGTTGTGCATCTGCCTTTCAGTTATTGCCTTAGTGCACTCGGTTGAAAACAATTTAAAAATATTTTTAGTGGTTTGTATTCGTTCTATGCATATTCATCGAGATATCTTTAATTAATTAAACTGTTGCATGGCCCAGCATTGACGAACTCTTGTCAGATCCTAGACCTGAGACAAGCTGTTGGAATAATTAATTGTTTTCACAGGACTCAGCTGTTGAATTCTCGTCAGGATTTATTCTCGCTTCTGGTTGATTGTGTCTTAATTTCTTGTTGATCGCGTACGGTCTCTTTGTTACTCATTATATTTACTCGATCATTCAATACAGGACCTACCCTTTAAATCCAACATCAGGAAGCTCTGAATTATCTAGTGTGTTTCGATCCCTACAGAGAAACAAGAATTGGTTTGAAAAAAAGCATTAGTGAGAACATTATTCGACGTGTGCTAGACCTGCTCGGCGATCTTCACAATGAATCCTTTCTTCCTGTTATTTCACCCCTATTCTTAAGCTGCATTCTTGTTTAACGAGGCAGTCTATCTTTCCGATCGTTTGGATATTCTTGAGTTGAACAACCGTAGTGTTAGTGTTTATTATTGTCCCTGTTAAGTTAAGTATTGGTAGTACTATTTCGTATGCGTGAGATTGTTTTCAGCGTCGCAGTCTTCCTGTAACCGTTGCAATTATTTGGGAGTTTCTTCTTATTGTCAGGTCATTTTCTAATGATTCCGTTAAGTTGATAATTAGTGCGCTTGGGCTCAAAATCCTGATGTTGACGTTGATACTGATATAGGCTAGCTGTTGGCTGTAAGGAGCTTCATTGTTATTTAATTCCATGATCATGTTACCAATCTCATTGCTTACGAGTAGGACGATTAGAAGCCGGATATTTTCTAATTTAGCAGTGTTTAGTTTTGGCAAGATTTTTCTATGAACTTCGTTGGCATTAAGGATCGATCACTGAAGATTATAACAACTATTTCATATTTTGTTGCGTGTAAATGAATCCTGTTGCCGTGCCATCGCTGTCTTGCATTATTAATCTTTGTTGTTGGGTGCATCTGTTGTTGGCTCTTACGAGAACTTCGAAGCGTTCTTTAAGACTTGGCGTTATTTGCTGAATTCTCTTGAATACTTTTTACCATTATAAATATCGGTCGTACGATATTATTTTCGTATGCATTTTGGAAATTCGCAAGCTTCATAATTGAACTTTTTTGCCTACTTCAATTCTGAAAAATAAATCAATTTGATCATTTAGTTTTTACATTTCACTAGCATTTAAAGTGGTTGAAATGAAATTTGTTCTTTCTCTTGCCAAATTAATGCATTAAAAACTTCGATGCGAGCTAAGAAAACACGTATTTTTTGTTGGCTCGTCAATAGTACGGTAGTATGTGACCTCCATGTTTTCTAATCTCATTAATTTTTGTTGCAAGGCTGTTTTTCGACCCTTTAATGTGAAATTTGTTGCCCTCAAGAAAATGTTAGGGTCAATTTCATTTTTAACAAATTGTACTTTGGCATGAATATTGTCTAAGTTACGACCTTGTGACCAGATGCGTGAATCCACAACTCGCCGTCGCTGTGATCGCGAGCTGGCCTTCTCCATATTGTCTAAACTCTAAAGTCTAAACCATTGTCAAATCTCGTGGCGATATTTTAGCGTTAATATTTTACGTGCCATACAGACTGAAAGTGTGGAATTCAATCAAATTGTTCAAGGTGTCGATGAACATGACTGAGATTCGTTAATTTTGACAACCTATGTTTCAAATTTAGGGCACGATAATAGCGTTGAGTTGGATTCGAGTATACCTTGCTTCCCACACCGTGTGTACAAAGCTGTCGATGAAAATCTGTGCTAAGGAAATTGTAACAGGTTTCATATGTATAGTTACACCGATAATATAAAATTAAAAGCGAACTTGTTCTTTCTGTGTTTCATTGACGGCATCGCGAAGTTGTTATGCTTGTTGGCAGGACTATTGTTCTTGAAACCGATAAGTCAGTTTTATACATTTGCAAATGGAGCGAATAACGGAATCATATTGTAATTCTGTTCAGATTCTAAATTTCTTAAATACAGCAAGTTACTTTTTTAATACTGAATGATAAAACTTTGATTTCTCCATCTGTTTTCCTCACCGTTTTTGTGCGAACTCGTCCAATTCTACCTATGCTTCAATCGCCCAACATGGATTATTTACATTACAAACTATATGACTACTCTCTAACCATGCCGGGTTCCTGTCATATGAGGCTCGTAATTTGACTGCGAATTTAGAATTCATGTTAGTGTCCATTGGAGCCTAGATCTATAATTCTCTAGCGTATCACATTGAGTTCATTAACCGCGTCATCAATCTTTCCTCCTTAGAAACTTTGATTTTCTCAGGTAAAGATAACTTCAAATATGTCGGTATAGTTTTTTTTATTTTTTTTACTAATATCATGATTATTATTATTAGTTATACAAATGCATTTATGCTAAAAATATTAAATAGTTTAAGAAGAGACGATAAATGTACACAATGGTTCATGCCTAAAACAATATCATATATGTAAACTAAAAATATCTCTTCACGTCTATAGCTATACAGGTATACATCACACTAATAACACCATTCCAACGAAAAGGAATTAATTTTATTGATTAAAAACAGGGAATGCTTTCATGTCAATAATCAGGGCCCCGACCTTAACGCCTCTGATTGTGGCCTACACCGACTCCGAGAGTCACTGAGCTGTGACACGAGTGAGGAGCGGGCCCACGTCGAACCTCTCTCTAACTTCTGTTAGGATGCTAGCTGCATTGCCTCTTTGCACTGCCAAACCCAACCTTTGCTCCAACCATAGAGTCTCTCTAAGTTCACCGGACAATTCCGTTATGCGGCGACCAATCTGTGATATTAAGGGACCAGTCGTTTCACCATATGTACCCGTCGTTTCTAATGCGACTGGCTCAAACCGATACCGAGCTGCCAACGCCGCATATTTACGTCTCTTGCTATCCTCCGCTGCACGAGCAGCGAACCCAGCAGAAATAGCCGAATTATTGACGTGCAACTCAGCAAAAGTGTCGACGCAGGTTGCATCCCAGCACAAACACCTCCCATTAGAAAATGGGAAAACCGTTAAGCCATCTGGTCTCCTACCATCCCCTCTGTCCGCTCCAACGGGTTCAAGGCATGAAGGAACGCCAGCGCTCTGAAGAGCCCTCCTGATCACATCGTTCAGAGCCGAGTGTCTCGGATGTCGCCCAGCACTGTACTTACAAGAAAGGCCATGCAGTCCTCGTGCATCCATCCACTTTCCGCACCGACAAGTGTGGGGCTCGCATACATTTGCGCCAACTCGAAGAGCAATCGAGACGCGGAAGGAGCCGGGATCTAGAAGTGTTCCGAGAGCTGCCGATGGGATAGCGTGAAGCCACAAGCCACTCTCCCTCCTCGCCGCTGCAAGTAGACGAATATGAACATAGCTTGAATATGAACAGAAGTCGAGCATCGGACGAGCATTTAGCAACTTGTCGGCAGTTATCGCAAAGGTATCGTAGTCTAGTCTTCAGATAAATACATTTAAAGCTGCCAAATGGACCCTTGGTTACACGGACGCAGTCTGGACGCATAATGATGAGCGTGTTCACCTACAATTTTGCATCATTAATTATTAATGATATCATGACTGATAATCATGATGATTAATGCAGTCAGTGTCACCGCCCGTTAGGGTTCGAGGATAATGCGCAAAAGTTTCACTCTTTATTCAGCATATAAGGGTTCGTTGTATTTGCGTAAAATATTACGATGCATAATGAAATTCTGAGTTTTCTGCTGTTTTGTTGAAAGAAGCCGTGCAGCAATATCGGTATCAAACCGTATCATTTTTTTTTTACACTAGATTTGAATGTGGAATAAATAATTCTTGGTAAAATTGCAGATATCTGGAACAATTCCGCGATCATTTTTGTTAGTGGCTTGTTCAGCCGATAGCATATAACATATTCAGAACTTTAGGATGCTCTACGATTAAAATTAGAAGTTCTAATTTGAAGTCATCCGCTTTCGTGTTGCATAGTATCCATTTTTTTCTGTTTTTGCGAACTGGCTCCGTGAATAAAACAACTTTGATCAGATAAAATTTAAATGAGTGATTGTGTGAAATGTAATTTACCACAATGCAAAGATATGTTTTATTCCTAATTCTAATCCACATGCCATTCATTTTTTGGATAGCATACGCGCGGCCTATACAGTCCATACCTACTGAGACCGTTTCGAGCGAAAATCCCGTTCCCAACTTCCCATCTCTTAGTATTTACCTGTGCGTAACGTAAGCAATCAATCGGTGAAGACTTTAGTTTCTTTTATTCAACACAAATTTCATCACTTATTAAATTGCATTAGTACTTCTAAGGATATCTGATTGCCCCAATTCCACAATATACTGCTAATCTGAGAGCTAATTTTATTTTATACCTGGCTAGGATCCAAAAGCCGGGGTATCACAAGACAAAAGTTCAGTAAGCTGTCAACGAAAAGGAGACTGTTAACCGTCAGTTAACGTATAGCGGTATAGGCCTACATCATCTTGTTTTCTGAAGCCGAATTCACACATTATATTAGTTCCAGAATATTGTATGACATGGGATTAATTTTATCATGGTTCCGGGTAAGTTGCATACCTAACTTGCATGATCTATTTTTTAATCTGAAATTCTGAATTTCTGAAATGAGGTGCAGGAGTAGGACTGAGACTGAGGACTGCAGGTAGGAGGTAGCCTAGGCCCTAGCAGTTTAATAATAGCAGTTTAATACCTAGCTAGTGACAAAGCAGAGAGTTTTTTAGACTCTCCCTCAAGTTCATTTTTGAGTCCTACAAGTAGACCAGTTATTTCCAGTAAAGTGGATTCCTGGATACCATCATACCAGCATTATCATATTTACTTAAGAAATTGGTTCAAATCTGGAGTAAATGAGGAAATTAAAAATAAACTGATTCTAAAAAAGCTCTGGTTTGCCACTAGGTATTAAACTGCTATACCTACCTAACTTTGAGTGAATACCTAAGTCATCAAGTCTAGTTACTAGTTATTAAATGGTAGATGGATATTTTTCTTTTGCATTGCATTGTCATGTCTTGCACAGAGCCCTGATACAAGCATATTGACTAGCTACCTAACTACTAACTAAGCTAACTTTTCTGAACAATAGGCTCCTTTCAAATTATTATTTTGTTATCCATGCCCTTTCTTGTTGATTCTGGAGAAACGACCAGAAACCATGCATGAGTGAGACAAATTGCTTATGCTTGCAATTACCTAATTTTACAAGTTGAAGGATGAAGACTGTTATATGGTTATGTTACAATGATGGCTTTGCTTAATTTTTCTCATAAATAATAAATAAACTGCTCAATTTTGCCTACCATTTTAAAAATTCTTGCTGAAATGAAACAGAAAAACTTGCTATGCTTGGACTCCACAGTTAGACTTGCCGACTTGGAGCACTCAGTTTTGGACTGGTGTGACGTATTGCCAAATTTAATTTATTTAGCCAAGGGATGTGAATTTAATTGGTAGTAGGTATTTATATAAATTGGTTTGGATGTAAATAGTTTATATTCAATCTTTCTAAAATAATAATTTGTGCTACTAATGAAATTATGGTGAAAAATATTATTTATTAATTATCCTATTCCTGAGAGGCTGAGGGTCCGAGGGAGGATCATTCTGTTTCTGAACAGTTGGAATAATGTGCTTCTTCAGGCTGACTTCAGCTATAGTATACATTTCTCAAATAATCACATTTGCATTTTCCAGAAACCGAGCACAAAGGAATTGCTCAGAGAAATTCAGGAGGTAAGAACTTTAAATTCCTATCAAATTTGAAGTAGGATTAGTCTTACTTCCCATTTTAGTTGAGAAAAATGTGTTAAAATGTGCCAAAGAAATGCAAATTAGGAAATAAAAGCCTCATTTATGTCTCCAAGTTGTTATGGGCATGCTGACAGTCATTCTAAACTAATTAGGTACATAAATTTTGCCAAACTGTTTAATTGTAAGTGCTTGGTGTTTCTACATCTAATTTTATAGCTGTAGGTTCATTTATAAATTTTTCATGTATAATTTTTTTGGATTTGCCCTGCAATTTCCTGTAGCTAATGCTAATTCAGCTGCTAATGCTTTTCTAATTCACATTAAAAAAATTCTAATGAATAATGTTTATATGATAGAAAATGCTTGTCCCTATATGACTTGACATCTTTTTTGTTTTTGACACAGGACCTGGACAGCATTCAGGACCAACAACGTGATGTGGAACTGCGCACACGTCGTGTTGGTCGATATGTTGTGTACAGCTTTGTACTTTACCTTCTAGTTGGTCTTTGCACATACTGGTACTGGCTTCCTCGAACCTATAATGACTGGCTCAAGTTTTCCCTCCCCTTTGCTGCCTTCCCTCCACTAGTTATGATGGTCAAGAGACTTCTTCACTGGTATTATGCACGACAGCTGCGGAATTCTAGAGGAAAGGTATGCTTAGAGATTTTTAATTGATTTCATGTTGTTTTATAATATTCTTTTAGTAAATTTTAGTATAATTCCAGATGAATATTATTTGCTGATAATTACTTTTCTATGATAATTTTAATAACTAATTTTACCAACTCCAAAGAAACTTTATTCATCACATGCATTAGACTTCTGAATTATTATTTTTCAGTATTGTAGTTTCCGTCTCAAGCAAAATTGATCCATATTATTTCATTTTCTCAAGCAAAATTTATCCATGTTCTATCATCTAAAGCGAAATTGCTCCATGGTTACTCAATAACTTTCCATTCTAACTCAAACCTCCAGGTAGAGAGGCTAAAGAAAAGGAAGCAGGATATTCTAGATCAAGTAATGGAGACTGAGACTTACAAAGTTGCAAAGGAAATTTTACAACAGTATGCTCCAGAGCAGCTCACTCCAGTTGTGAGTATTCAATGAACCTTGATTAGTTATCTTATGGTATTACCGTTCTCTGTCATTACTTTAAATTTTAGTGTGCAGTGACTTTTTTAGGTCTTGTCGCACAAAGAAGCATGAGGGCACTTAAAATATGCAACACATTTTTTTATTTACTGGTGGAATTTGTTTATCATGCATATTCATTAAGTACTTTTAAAGTCCCTTTTCAAAAATCCAATGGAGCTCCAGGAATAAACATCTATGTCCTGACTAAAATTATCTCTTGCAGATGAAGATGAACATGGCTACTCCTAGCACCACCCTTACTCCTGGTGAGCACAAACTTTCTTAGGTTTCTTTGTGAAAGATCATTACTATCTGAAGTTTGAACACAAAGTACGGTATACTTTATGCAAGAAAATTGATTGGAATTTTTCTAGGTGTATTGGTATACTTTTCATCATTGATTTGTGACTATTTCAATGTTTCATGCCTTGATTCTTATCTAACTTGGTGCAATGCAAATTGGGTGCAGCTTTTTGGCATTTATTGATGCATTTAATGCAATGATATTCTATCAACTTGATAAATGCTGGCTTCACTTAGGGACGATCCCAACTTAATGCAATCCTATTGTCATCATCATAAAAAATTATTTCATAAAATATTGTAACTACATATTCTTCCTCTTCCCATGAAACACACGAGTCTATTCCTTAAGAAGTAATTGTTCCTCAGTGTCAACTGTGCGACGCCGTGAATCGGCCATGGTTCGTCCGATTACACCAGCTTCTGTGGTGCGTCCCTCATTTCCTCATCCTCAGGGCCCAGTCATGAACAGACAAGGTGCGCCACTACCTCATATGGCTCAGGGCAGGGGAATACATGCCACACCCATCCTGACACAGCCCGGTGAGAGAAACATCCTTTGCTGTTCTCTTGTTCAGTTGCAGTCAACTTGGTCTGTTCTATGATGCTTATTCAAATCAGCAGAGTAAGCTATGAATAGTACCTATATTAACTATAGGTGCTTATACATGGGGCGATTAGTTGCGTTGATTAGTTGAGTCGACTACAGTTTTGCCGGCTGAGAGCCTATACACAAGGAGAGTGTTTTTGGTACAGTTTGCCAGTGCCAGTGCGACGGGAGTTGTCGAGTAAGGGTGTGCATGATGGAAGCAAGCGAGAGATCCACAGCTGTGCGCGCTACAGCGGCTTAGAGACAAGCAAGAGAGAGAGCAACGCAGTAATGCTCACTACGAGCGCCGAAGCGGTAGTACTGAACACACTCGACTGGCGCTGAAAACAACTTGAGGTGCTCTGGGTGCAATGCAACAGCTAGTCGCCTCCGAATACAGTCAGTAATCACAAATTTTAGTCGTGTTTACTAGTTGACTCAACTAATTGACGCAACTATTTGCCTCACGTATAAGCACCTCATGAAAAAAAACGTTTTTGTGTAAAGTCTGGTTAACTCTGATTTTATTGTTGATTTACTGTTTTGCTTATGATTTCTAGACAATTATAAGAGTTTGAAGCTGATCGTGTTACCACGTTTTCTGGGCTTGTTGGTTTTGCTTTCTTCTGTGCATTTTGTCAACCTGGTCGTAGCATAAGTAATTCAATGTATTTTTTATTGTTTCATAGGGATATTCTTTGCACTGTGTTTTGAAATAATTGAAATTGCATGTGGGCATTATTTGGTGAATTATAAACCACTCATGGTCTGGTTTGTTTCATTGTTTTTGTTATGAGCTTAGATCTTTTTGTTACATCGTTTGACTTGTATGCTGCGAGATGATTACTGTGTTGTGTGTGTTGTTGGATCAGGACCCAGACAGCAGTTGTTCACGGCTGCCACTTCTGCAGGTGCCCAACAGACGCCCCTCAGAGCCCCCCTACTCACTCCTGCAGGTGATATGCTCACATGTCCTGCCTCGCACCTTTCTATGATGATCCTCATAAGGATGTCTCTGCTGGCAGTTTTTTTAGATTGGTTAACTTACTTTTTATATCGGATGTATGAACACCATGTATCTCCCCATAGTTACGTGAACCATTTTGTGGTAAAATCATTCTATGTTAACCGTAGTGTGTATAATGTTATGCCAATTAAAATCATAATTTCACGATTCAAGTAGATCAATATATGACGGCTAATATAGTTTTTTAACTTTTATATAGGACAATGAATTTTATCTGTTAACATTGTGAACCATGTATATGTTGTTAAGTCTGGGCTTAAAATCACACCTGTATGCGACGTCCCACAGGCCGAGGCGGTGCACCGGGCGTGCCGATGCCGCGACCGGTGGCGCCCCGGGAGCGCGGCGTGATGGACCGCGTCATCGACTACCTCATGAAGGAGGGACCCACCAACAGCTACGCTCTCGTTTGCACTCAGTGCGAGAGCCACAACGGCATGGCGCTTAAAGATGATTTCCCTTACATGGGTGAGTGTTTTGTTTTCAAAATTGTTCAAGGCGCTGTGCTGTGCTTTCACATTTATGTTTTTTTAAGGCTCTGGCTGTGAAAAAATTATATTTTCCAATGCTATTCATCACTAAAGGCCTTTATTTTGAGAAACGATCAGTAGACAAATGGCTATGACGACTTATTAATCAGCTTTTAGCTAAATTACGTCATACATATTATGTCGCATGGATTGCTTTGGAAAGCAAAGAAGGTAGAGACAGACACCATTATTTTCCCGCCATCATTGTGACTGTCCAGTTAAGATTTTTTTTTTATGAAAGCCTCGTGCATCTCCGTATACACAGGAGAAAGTAGCCCAGATTGCTCGCACTGAGTGAGAAGCATTATACAGCGTATATTTTAAATTGTGTACTTATTATACCAGGTATATATTACGGAGGGTATATATTACAGCTGGTATTTTTAAATTGTGCAGCATACCGGTGTGCGTACTGCCACTACTGGAATCCTGCCCGCAAGCAGCGTCCGCCTCCACCGAGGTTGGAGCCTCTACAGCAGCCGCCACCACCGCCACCCGTCGTGTCCAGCAGCGAGTCTTCCTCCACTGACGAGGAAGTTGATGACCACGCAGAACAAGTCGAAGGCGAAGAAAAGCAGTCGCCAGCTCTGAGAAGTGATAGCGAACCTAATAGCTCTGTGGCGCCGCAGCACACCAGTTGTAGTACAGACAGAGGCAAGTGTTTCTAATAACATCTTGATGCACTATGGTTGCATATTTTCTAGGTGTCGTTTTCTTAATGTTTGAATCACTATTGTTACACAGGAACCAAGTTTATGTTAGATCTGGGACTTGATCACTTAGTATTTAGCAGAGGCCGCGTCATAAAACTGATATTCATTAAAGTATTGCTTTTTGCAAGCTTAGTGAATTTTTTGGAAACTCGGTGCTGTTTTTGTTCGTGGCGCGCCGATAATGCACGCCCAGGCGCCGGCTGCGGACGAGGTGAGGCTAAAGCAAGTGAGGCGATGGTATTTGGGCAGAGGCCTAGAAGGCCTGTAGAAACCTCATCTCAACCTGAAAAGTCTTGTGTGATTCATTTCACGGTTCCTTCTGCTATCAAGGTTAGAAAGTTTAATTCTTTAATAGATTCCATCAGGTTTATAGAGCTGCAATCTCGGTTTAACGATGCACGTCTTCTTGTTCAGGAGAAGAGGCCGACCTGGCCAACAGTAAAGACGACCCTGTGTCCGAAGTTGTCGAGGAGCGGCAGGCCAAAACTACCGACGATTCTCCTCCCAAAACTGAAGCAAATTAATCATCGTCATTTTATCATATATTACCAATTGCATAGTGATAATAGAAATATGTTGATAATCCATTGTTGTACTGCGTTCGAGTTTTATGTAAACCAACTGCTTTTTTTCGATACTTCAGAAGATTACTGAAAAGTATGAGTTTCTCAGAACCATATGTTGATTGAATACTTAGACGGTTATTAGACGTCTAATTAAGAGCGTAAGTTACGCTGTGGTGCTAGCTAATGCTCTCTGTCTCATAAATTTCTTGTATCCTTTTATAAATGGTTTTAATTTTTCCGAAGTTGCGCGACATTTCGCCTGTGATTCGTGTCGAATTGCTATAAGCCTTTCTTGTATCATGAAATATTTGGTGTTAAATTTTCATTTTCGTCAAATCGATAGATTTTTAAACTGTACTTTGGCTTTGCTAACATCAAAATCATGCCGTTCGGAAAGAAGCTTATGGAGTGAGTAATGTATCTCTTGTTAGGCAGTTCGCCGTTCGTTTACGCTTCTCCACTGTAAATATTGTTCAAGCATTTGTACCTGTTCGATTTTTCATGCCACCTGTAGATATTAGTGTAAAAAAGTGTGTGAACTGGTCCCAGGCATGTAGGTTTTCTATTGTACAGATAAGCGTTGTATGAGAGTTACTTTATACTTTCATTGCCCATAGTCACCTCAGGTTCAAAGTTTTCGCGATCTTTATCATTCAGTACCTAATATTTGCCTCTGTTGGAATTGCGTCGTTTTCAGTTTGCCCTGTTCTCAACTGAAAAATACTTTGGAATTATTTGTAGTCTTGGCTTTGTACGCTTTAAATTCTTGTGGTGTGAAAGCAGAGGCGCAGTAGTTTGCGGAAATGAATTAAATGGTTAAGGGAGTTTTACAAATTTCACGGTTGGCTTAGACTGTGAACTCTTACTTATTAGTGTAGGTTTTAAAGGTTCATTATGTGTTAATTTACTCCGCAAGATGCTTTGGCTCAAGTGAATAACAATAACTGACTTCTTTTAAAAATATTCCGATTCAATCTACTTTTAAACATTCTTGCATATAATATCTTCCACGAGCGATACAATTTGCATCGGTCAAATATGTTCACTAAAAGAAGTTCTTATTTAATCAGGGAGATGCTTGACTCGAACACGAGTCAAGCATCTCCCTTGTTAATGTAGATTCCATTCTTTAGAAATGAGTTGTCATGACATTTGGATTGTTAGTCGTCGCTTGTCGCATGTAATTACGCTCGCTTCTTTAATACGAGCCTTCATATCACCGCTTCCTTACTCTTAATTGTGTGCCAATTCTCACGTAATTTAATTCAGTATAATTTGAAAGCCAAGTTCATTTTACGGCTTCTTTATTGCAGGTTTAGTACATTTCAGAAAAAATGATTTTCCTTATCATTATTGTTGTATTGTATTTTTTGTATCACGACGATCATTATTGTATCACGACGTGACGCTTGAGCGCTTTTCAGCTATTGCTTTTGTAGCGTTGATGCCACGCCGCCAAACCTCGGCTGTATTTAGTTATGAAAGAAATTAAAGCGATTACTCTCTTCGGTACAAATCGGCTCGTAAAATCATGCTTACGTAAGACAGTTATGTTGATTATTCTAGTCGAGAACGTTGTACCCCACAAATTCTCCTAGTTTACGTTCGTTAATAAAGCGGCGCAAAGTTCATTATGGTCGAATTATTTAACCAACGAGATTTAAGAGAGATATCGAGGATAGCCAGGATATTTCTTCTTTTGCGATTTTATGGCCTGTTTTACTGGGAACAGCTAAACATAATATTTGAGTATAGTAAAAATTTCAATCTAACCAAGAACTAAGGTGAGTAAAAAATGTATGGCGATGCGGCGCGTTGTTATGACTCAAATTTTTCGTAAACTATTTGCTTACGATCGCAATGCTATGGACAAATTTATTAACAGTACTTCAGAGGACTTAACATAGCCACGAAAAGAAATAGTACAATGTTCGCAAATATTATTTTGTCGTATATTTATGAGAAATGCCAAATCGCAATTTTTTAAAATAATTCCTAATATGTGACGACCACGAGCTCGTGGCGTGCGCCACTGAGTGGCTGAGATCGCAGGCGGCGGATTTCTATAAGACGAAGGAATTTCGAAGCTTGTCCACCGCTACGATAAGTGCCTTAATTTGTTGATTTTGTAGAAAGTAGCATTTTAGTCACTCTTTCAGATGTATATAGCTGAATATTTTTCCTGCACCTACTTTTTATTTTATTACAAAACGTTCCTTAGTTTCTGAATAGCCCTCATAGATTTGTAGTGACTCGAATTTATATCTCGCACTGTCTTTATCTTGTGCATGTCGTAATTAATTTTATTAAACCGTCAAACTCGTTGATCATCAATCTCTGTAACTATATGTAACTTAATGATCTTGACGTCTCGGACAAATTTACGGCCGGACTCCAAATAAAGTGAGCGTAGAATATCTCCCAAAGTAATGAACGTAGCTCGATGAAACATGGTACACATAATCATCAGAGCCTAACGGTGATGTTTAGCTCGTGAAAATTTTTTTTATTTTCGCCTTCATTCGCGAGTTATATGACGAGACATGCAGAAATTTGCAGTGCGCATGACATTTCTTCCAAAGGACTGAACAGACTCGAATGAAATTTTGAATATAATTTTCTGTATACCCAACAATGATGTTTAGCTCGTGATAATTTTTTCACTTATGCTTTCGTTCGCGAGTATTTTTCACTTTTCCCTCATTCTCATGAACTCGCTTATTTATTTCGGATTTCACCAATTTCACTGTTTAAATAATGCTTCAACCATTCAGTCAGGAAATCTTGCCAATCCCCGAGCACGAATAGAATAGAATAGAAATGTCGGCACTGAAGAAATAGGCCCATGGCCTGTTGCCGATTCTTGAATTTTTCGTGACTTGATTCACAAGGGATCCGGCTTTTGGAACCCGATCTTTCCATAGCTAACGATTGATTGAGATTGCTGCTGAACTTATTGCCTGGTCCGTAATTTGCTAGGCATTTTAAGACTGAACATATGCTCCTGCATAGCTTCGTCTGGACTTATTGCCTGGTCCGTAATTTGCTAGGCATTTTAAGACTGAACATATGGTCCTGCATAGCTTCGTCTAGCCTGTTCTTGCAGGCGTTCATACTCGGAGCTTCAACGATGCTATCAGGGAGGCTGTTCCATATGTCGGTGACTCGAAGCGAGAAGAAATGTTGTCGCATGGATGTGTTACAACGCAGTTTTTTTAGTTTATAGCTGTGGCCCCTGGTGTTGGTTCTTGTTTCAAATTCTAGTAATCCTTCTGGAACCTTGTATAAGCCATGAGTATACTTGTATGCTTCAATGAGTTCCCCACGCACTTGTGTAATTTTTATTTATAAAAATACAGTACATGACGAAAATACTTTTATTTATGAATCGTACCATCAAATGTTGTGAATTATTTTTAGACTGCGCTAGCGGCCAGCGGGCAACATTAGTCAGTCATGTTTTAGCTTTAACATTGTATTTTCCCCAGCGTCCTGTGAACGTCTACTGAGTGGAAAGATCACTAAGCTACCAAGTCAACCTATAGAATTAATTGAGATAACTGTGATTAAATATTGTCAACATAATGACTGAATTACCATTTGATTCCCGGTAATCTTTCGATATTGTTGTTATTCCATTTTGCTTATTTCTTGTTTTTATTCTAACAACCTTCCGGCACCTTAGGTGGTGCCGTGTTAGTCAGGGCCATTATTCGTCAACCCTCGTTAAGGGGAGCGTCTAGGGTAAAATTTATCTCGGCTATTTACAAACGGATCACTCTGAAACTTGGTACACATATGTAAAATAGAATTCTAAGACATTTTTGTTCGTGTGAATTTTTCGAAAAAAATGAAAGAAAACGTGAAATTCTTAGAAAACGGCCAAAAAAGGGGGTACCGTAGAAATCTATCTCCTCCTAGGATTTTCAAGCTACAACATTGAGACACATATCATTCGATGCGTAAAGACCATATCTAAAACGCAACACGAGGGTTTTTAGGATTTCTCATTTTTGTGGGTGTGGGAGCATTTTTCGTAAATTTTTCGAAAATTTTTCGATTTTCCCCCCGCCACCCCCCCTTTTGCGGAATAAAATCCAAACTATTACGAAATTAGAAAAACGCCCGTGTTCAAATGTAGATAATTTTGTTGTCCATCGAACGGTGTATGTTTCATTAATGTAGCTTCAAAACTCTAGGAGGAGATAGGTTTTCCGTGACAATAAGTTAACTTTTCAGTAGAGCCCGTCAAAGTCCCGCGCGCATCGGAATAGGCACTCAATGTAGCAAGGATACAAAACTAAACGTTACTGGAGCTTGATTCCAGTCAAGGATGGTGAGAGCGACTGCATGCACGCCTCCTCATACGACGCCAGGCGGGTAACTAAGGTGCACTTTAAGCAGACACTCTATTTAAAGTGCTCGCAGCGAATTTCCTCCCATTCTATTTGTTGGAGAACTACCCCACCTCCCTCCCTTTCATGATCTGTCGTGAACGCATAAATCAACGTACAGAGATGGTTTTGGTACCGTTGGATAGATCAGAATGTCAGCTTTAAGATGAGACTAAAAACCGGAAAAGCCGAAATCCAAAATTTTACCCTAGACGCTCCCCTTAAACTCGGTGAATCTTCAGTCTTTACACCAATCTACATAATACTTATTTACATTAACCAATTATGGAAGAGGGACGGCCGTTTTAAAATCCAAAATCTCCAAACACCATTAGAAGCCGCCTGTTCTTCATATATCCCATTTTCTCACTCGCCTTCTGGTTAGCATTGATGATAATACAATTTAACTTTTTGGTAGATATCCTTTCCTTCTTCCCATTATTAGTAAAATTTGTAATAAGGCTACTTGAAAATGGCATTTAATATTATACTATTATTCTTGTGAAATGGTCATTTTCAAACTTAGTTGTATTTTTGTGTGGTAATCTACATGAATTATGTTTATATTATAAATTTTTTTATCTCTCACCAGGATAATTGAAGAATTTTCATCAGGTAAAACCATTTGCACTCGGCGAGATCTTACAAAAGCTGATCTTTCTCTGATCAAACCGGCAATAAAATTCCTTACTAGAAAAAAATTCTAGTAAGGCCTACAAACCCAGAGATCGAGCGGCGATTGGTTGACTGGTCTGCGGTTGCCGAGTTAGGGCTCTGCCAGCATCAAGGCTAGCCAGGCATCAGCCCAGTTTTGCGGCATACCATTAGTGTGACTGACTGACTGGCGGAGTGCTGAACAAGAGTTGCCGGTGTCTTGATATTCGTGACGATGGACGTTAGTAATCATGCTTCATGTAAGTATTAGTTCATAGTGATTTGATAAGGATCGTGCAACTTTCACGTTTTAAAGAAAACAGTGGCTCCTATTATTCGTTGCAGTCTTCCTTTTATGTGCTTTCCAGTTTCCATGCATTTCTATGTTACAACAAAATGCACCTTGGAATCTCGTAATTAAAATTAGTAGTTCCTCGTTAACACCACTTTTTGTCATCAATGACGGAATAGATTCAATGCTTAATTTATCAATTAAACATTTATAAATTTTTTAATTTTATCAATTAAAACGATTTGAATACCGGGATGTGCGAAAACATAATCCATTCAAGTTTTACCCAATTATGTGTCGCTTACCACCGGTAGGCCTTAGCAGCTGTTAGCGCATAGTTTCGTTGTTGGCTCCTAAAATTATCGGCTCGTTTCGTGTTAAAACAGAGAAACTAATAATCTCGAATAATATTGAACTGTTTCTGCTTATGTTGAATTTTACTGATCAAAAAGGAAGCTCACTAGGCAAATTTTTTGGAAATTAATTCCATGGACAAATTGTTTTTTTTTTCAAATTCGTACACTACTTTAAATTGTCCTCGTGGTTTAGAATTTGACCCAAACGAAACTCTCCGCATGTCACAGCCTGCGAATTGCTTCAAACTTAGAGTTCATGCCACGTTAGAAGGGTTACGAAAACGCAAGCTTTAGATTAAATCTCCATATTTCACCACAATTGTCTCTCGCAGCTCCTGTCAGAGGCGAATTGCTGTCGGAGGGCAAGACGAAGCAAATCTACGCCATTAAAGACGATCCTCATCATGTGATCGTAGTCAACAAGGATCGCATCACGGCCAACAACGCACAAACTGCGCACGATTTAGAGGGCAAAGCCGAATGTTCCAACTCTACGAACGCCAAAGTGTATTCGTACCTCAACCAAGCTGGCAAGTATTCATTGAGTACGAATGATCAATTAACATTTCTGCTGTAACGTGGGCTACCATTGAATCGTGAGCAGAATGTCAAACATGTTATTCAAATTATTTTTATTCACATTGGTATTAAAAGAAATTTATCTTTTTGCTACATTTGTTTTAAAAGGACATCTAATAATTTTTTCTATATGATTATCGTTTCAGTCAAAGTGTTGGCATTTTTAATTGCTGCCGTGACCCTCTGCAAATATCGCCGCTCTCTTCAGACCCTCATCTGCCACATCATGATTCAATCGCGTTCATGTTCAAAATATCTGAACAGGAAAATGATCAAACCCTCGATCAAATTAACACAAGTAGTGAAAGTCATATGACTATATTACCTCTGTTGTTAAATAGTATTCTCTTGCTCAGGCGTGCCGACATCGTTTGTGCGGAAACTTAGCGCGACCACATACTTGGCCCGCCGCTGCCGCATGGTACCTCTAGAGTGGGTCACGAGAAGGATCGCTACAGGATCATTCCTCAAGCGCAATCCTGGCGTCAAGGAAGGCTTTAGATTCGCTCCTGTGAAGCTCGAAACCTTCTTCAAAGTAAGTTTTGCTACATTTTTGGGCTAAAGGTCTTGATACATTTCTTCATATATTTTAGTGAATAAATATATTTTTCGCTCACCTAACGATGATTATGCATGCAGTAGTTCCGTGTTTCCTCATTTGAACAATTTTAAATTCGTTGAAGTTTTTACCTTATGAGCGACTCTTTGAACAAAAATATCCATGCAATATATTTTACCAAGTATTTTTACTACCCGTGCACTAAACTGTAATCTAATAATTTAAACAAAGACGCAGCACGTTTGCATTTCAAAAAATTTATTAGCTGCAAAATCTTCCATCAATGGTTATGTTTTTTTTTTACGAAACTATTATCGTAAGTTCAGATATTAACTATAGCTAAAATGTGCAAATTATTTTCCCCATTACATCCGAGCAATAATTGAAGTAAATTAATTGTAACTCGAGTCAAACTCACCATGGGAGCCTATTGGCCCTCGTAAATCGAACCGCTCTCATACCTTTTGTAACTCAGGACGACGCTGCCAACGACCCGGAGTGGAGCAAAGCCCAGGTTCTGTCCGTCCCTGCGGGAGAGGCTGGCGTGCTAACGGAGCGCCAGTACAGCACCATGGCCAGCGCCAGTGTCGCCGTATTCGAGATCCTCGAGCGCGCCTGGGCAGTTCAGCGCTGTACTTTAATCGATATGAAAGTAGAGTTCGGCTTCGACACCGAAACAGGTAATGCTCATCTAATGAGTGCGAACCTTTGTTTTATAACTTTTGTGTATTAATTCTGTGTATGGTATACTTCAAATCGAGTCGGATCTAATTAGTTCATTTTCTTTTCGATGAATGTGAATGGGGTTTGAAATAAAGCCAACCTCTCGGCGATTACTATAACAGGACTCGATATATTTCTTCATTTAGTCTGACTTAATTTGCACAAATATCATCTTATTCAATTGTTCGAGCTCTGTTATAAAATATGATTTGCTGTTATTCTTAAACGATTTCTTTTTAAGTGCTTTTAAATTAACAAAAATACTGATAAAAGTGTGTTAGTTAGTGTGTGACGATTGAACTCCTTGATCCCACCTCTGAACTCGCCTCATTACATCGCAGTCATTTCTACTTTTCTGTCATTGCTAGGCGACACCCGTTATTTTAATAGCCTAATGTACATTAATTTCTGAAGAGAGAAACGTACCAAATTTTATTCTACCGGGAAAATAACTTTTTTTAACAGGTGACCTTCTACTATCTGACGTAATCGACAACGATTCTTGGCGTCTGTGGGAGAATGGCAAGAAGGAACTCATGAAGGACAAGCAGGTTTACCGAAACTTGAAGGACTTCACAGTCGAAGAAATGGTTAAAGTAAAACTCAACTATCTTTGGGTTAATGAAAAACTGGACGGATTTTCAGATGGCCCTGAAAATACGGTAAGATTGTGGAAAGCAGATCATAAATAAAATGATATTTTGAATGAAACGGCTTCAGGCGATGTGAGTGCGAAAGGACCAGGGTTTTAATGAGCTAAAATAATGTGGGTTTTGGCTAATTTGCGTGTTGAAAATGTAAAAATATTAAAATTAAAAATACATAGCGTATTTACTTAGAATAAGCAATATTTTCTCTAAAATTTTGAGCTAAAATAATGTGGGTTTTCTAAAATTATTAAACGAGTGATAAGAGACATAAAAATTTAGCTCAGTATCTCAAACTCTAAATAATGCTCGTTATTTCCGGTGCAAAACTCCTTTTGTAGTTATTGCATCATTAGATTCATCCATGTACATATAACTTTTTTAATCGGGATCGCGAACTCATTTTAACTAACAGTAATGATATATGCTCATTTGATGTGAATAGTCTATCTATTCACATTGTTTCGTTATTCGAGTGAAGAGATTGCTATTGTTTCCTTTTTTCAATTGTAGAATTGACCAATGGCAAATTTACTGCCTATTTTGATGTTGAAATGGCATTCGGCTGATAAATATAGTACCTAACGCTTTTGAGATGAATAATAACCTTGAAGGTTCTTCAACAGGAAGTCAGGAATGAGCTCAACCATCGTTGGTTTTTAAATTCATCTATTTTTCCGATTGCCAATTATTCACGTCTTCCTCAGGTGGTTATACTAATGGGTTCTCCTGCTGATTTGGCCATTAGCGAGGATATTAAAAAGCATTGCGAGAAACTTCTGCTGTCGGTCGTGAGGCGCGTCATGTCTGCGCATAAAGTCACTGAAGAGACCTTGAAGACTGTGCAATACGTAAGTAGCATTGAAACCCAATTTTTTTTATTACTTTTAAATAAATTCTGTTTTCTTTACCTAAGAAACCAATGAAAAAAGTAACATTCTTTTCGACGCGCCTATCGCTTCATAAATGTTTTATTTCGATTAAAGTCAAGTAGAGTCGAAACCTCTAAAGACTGGGCGATTTATGCGTGGTATTCTAGTACACATACTTGTCTTCCAAAGGAAGTAGTTTTCGATTTAGTGTAAGGTCTTTTCTTAGTTTCATAAAGCAATTTTGGGATTTGTGAGATTTTTAAATTTTATTCTGGTTCCGGAGTAAATTTATTGCGAGTACAGAAAGTTTTTGTATTTTTATGATTATCTCTGTCGTCTATTCTTGTCGTGTAAGGGAAGGGTAACCAGTTAAAGTTAGTAGAAAAGGGGGTTCATCGCCCATGTCGTCCTTGACTGACAATTGGAATAGCGATAGATTCATCATTCGTATAGGTGCTCACTAACACCCGCACTTGCATCATACAGTCCACCGTTTTATATATCTGGCTGGGTTATCCAGGTAGACTGAAACTGTAACTTTCATAAATAATAATGGCATTCGTTTGCTTGAAAAATTTTAAATGGGTAGGTTTTACAGCTCATATTTTTTGTTGTAATCTTGTCTGTACTAATTACTGAGTTACCTGTGCTCTAGAATTTTCAAACTGACGATGGGGCTGGACTACCCGAAACGTTTTCTTTAAAGACTACGAATTTTTGTGGAGTTTTCTTTGCTTTTAAGTTTTTAGTGTAACTTTCATTACGGATTTCAATTTGTTCCCTCAGTACAACAGCTTGCCAACGCCTGTCGTCTTCATTGCTGTGGCGGGCCGCAGTAACGGACTGGGCCCCGTGCTGTCCGGCAACACGACGCTGCCTGTCATCAACTGCCCTCCAGTCAACAAGAAGGAACAAACCCACGATATTTGGTCGTCGCTCAGCGTTCCTTCTGGTAAATATTGAACTTTTAAAGCGTTCTGATATTATTGCATTACATATTATATTGGTTCGCACCGTGCTTGTATTTTTTTGCGTTTACTGAGTTATTTAGGACTTGCTTGAACATTGAATGTGTTGTAACATGATTTTAAATTGAAGATTGTTGATACTCTCTAGTCAGTGCATTGATTTATTTTACTTTTACATGTAATACTCTTTAAAATTGACTACTCAAATTTTTGACAGGTTTAGGTTGCAGCACCGTTATATACCCAGAGACTGCCGCCCTCCACGCTGCGTCCATTTTCGCCCTCACGGACCACAGAGTCTGGAGCAGACTTAGGGGCCTGCAACTGCAGCGAGAGCGCGCTCTTCAAAAATCTGATCAAGAATTGCAAGAGGAATAAGTGATTTCTACAATTTTTTTACTGCATAGAATCTAATAAGTCTGCGAACAGATTTATTCATTTATAAACAAAGGAGCGATGGTGAAATATTCCTATCTTGTTCCTTTCGTTCGGAATTCGCAGTTCTGATTTAATTGTTACGTAGGGGATATAAAATTATATTCAGATTTTGTAAAATAAAATTATTTGGTATTTGTGTTGCGTTTCAAATCTCGTCTTGGTCGCAGATTTTTTCACGTGTAGCTGGAATTTTCTAGCTATCGTTTCCGTTAATGGAAATCTTTTTGCCTACTACTAATTTTCAGTAAATTTCAAATTTCCCAGTGGTACAAGAAATAAATTACGCAAAATGGCTTATTATTGAAGTATCGTGCTCAGTCTAACGCGTGAGTGAGAGCAGCCCATTATTAAATTGAATTTCTTAGCACTACTCATTGCGCAAATGGAAAGATAAATTTAAGTTGGTGGTTGAATTGATGGAAATTATTGGAAGCGTCAAAAAAACACTGAAGCTTCGCTTGTCATGCAGGTGTAAGATGTCGAGTGTCGAGTTAGGCTGAGTGGTTTCCTGAAATAGAGATTTGGATTAACGGTTTCTCTGAACAGTGTTCATTGGCGTAGGTCGTACTGTCGACGCCCCGTACCATGAGATAAAAGCGTATTAATATTGTGCAATATTATTGGTGGTCAATATTGAAAGATTGCACAATGCAAATTTCATGAATATATTGCGCAATCTGGATAATAACGTGCCGCGTACGGCGAAATATTCCTCCACTTGATTGCTCGCGGGCGATGATCTTCTCGACCTCACGTCGTCATAGTTGACGATCGAGTAGGTCGATAAAAAAACAAATAAATTCTTAACGGACAAAAAATAAAAACATTTACTCTTACATAACATTTAAGTTATGTAAAATGTTATGTAATGTTATGTAAGAGTAAATGTTTTTCTTTTTTGTCCGTTAAGAAAACGTGGTTTTTAAAAGTTTTTTATTTGTTTTATTTCACTATTTTTACTTTTGTAAAAACCAGAAAAACGTGGTTTTTTAAAATATTTTATATATATATATATATATTTATTTTTTACTTTTCAGTTAGCAATTTTAGCAATTCAAATCAATTTCCAGAGTTGGCAAGTGTGGATGTTCGAGAAAAAACTCAATTCCAAACCGTGAATTTTTAGTACTTTTTTAATTTTTTAAATTTTTTTATAATTTTTTAAAATTAGTATTTCTGATGATCAAATCTTGAATTGTTAGGCAGCATAAGCATGCATGCCAAATTTCAACTCACTAGAATGTTTAAAAGTGCTCTAAATTAAGGTTTGAATTTTTGATGACAGACACATGCACACGAAACGAAGTCAAGAAAAACGCGGTAATAATTATTGATTAATTATTTGCCTTGTATTAGAGTCCAGCTGCTCTGTGAGAAATGAAATATGAATATCGGCATTATCGATCGAAAAATGTTGGAACTGTACGATGCGCAAATAGAAAATACAAGTATTTATTTGTGAATAGATTTCATATAACACAATAGATTATAGAATAGAATAGATTTCATTAAACACAAAAATGTATGCTTGTCGAAAATAAAGCAATATATTATGGACATCATTTTTAGTATAATAATAATATATTAGCATACTAATAGTAAGATAGTGTATGATTGTCGAAGTATTGTCGAAGCCCTGTACCATAAGACAATAGCGTGTTAATATTGTGCAACATTATTGGTGGTCAATATTGAAAGATTGCACAATGCAAACTTCATGAATATATTGCGCAATCCGGATAATAACGTGCCGCGTACGGCGAAATATTCCTCCATTTGATAGCTCGCGGCTTTATGATTTCGACCACACAGCACCGCGTTTGTGACTATCGAGCAAGTCGAAAAATAATTATTGATCAATTAATCGCGGTGCATTGGAGTATTGAGGCTCTGTGAGAAATGAAAGATGAATATCCGCATTGTCGTGCGAAAAATGTAGGAGCTGTATGATGCGCCAATAGAAAATACAAGTAAATAAAAGAATGAAAATTCCTTGGCGGGAATCACGCAGCACAATTTACTTTCACCCAACCTGTAGAAGGCGTGAAATTCTGGCAGGGTGCTGTTCGCACGAATTGGTTGTAGAGGTGCTGTACAAATGGCTGCGATTGCGCAATTTTATTGCACAGTCGTTAATGCCGCCTCAGTACAGTACAATTTTTTGTGCAAATTAAAAAAAAAGACCAGTATTATTGACCTTGAAGAAGCGTTGTGAAACCGTTGTTCAATTCATCCTGCACAATAATATTTATCATCCATAAGTGAACTAGTGTCTCAAAAGTTACCTTCAAGTGAACACGAGTAGTGTCCAAGAAAAAAATAATACATCATAAAAAATAGTCACGGAATGCAGTTATAAATCAGGACGATAATTGTGTCCTGGATATTCTGAAACGTTAAGAGAAGTAAAATGAGATGTAACATGAAAATACGAGACATAGTGAAGGTACATATTAGCGATTACCAAGTTTAACCTTTGATTATTTATTAGTGGGCAGTTGGGCAAGTTTGACGACATTTGATGCCAACACAAGTCGGAAGTAATTTTCGTTGGCTGAGCCGTCCATACTTTTCAAGACTAACAGAGAAAGTTTCAACTTTCGAGGAATGATATGGCTATTCGTTCCAAAATACGGCTCCTGGAATTCATTTTACTTACACTATTTTCAGTGAGTATTTTAAATCAGGCACTGCTCCTGTATAGTCAATTTCAATCAGTTAATTAGTCTGATATATGCCACGAAGCATAGGTGATATCCGGAAAATTTGTCGCATCTTCAATAAATAACGTATCGAATTAATATGATTACACATTTACTGATTTATATGATTACATGATTTGATTCGAGTTGATTCATGAATATGATTACATTATGTGATTCGAGTTTTTGGCTTGTGCTATAAATCCATGAATAAACGAAATTACAATTCTCGGCACATGGTACACTCGTGGGGGAACTTTCTGAGCTAAGACGAAGTTTTTATCATAAGAGACTGGTGCCGGGTTTCGGCCAATACTGGCAAAAGCGATCTCCCTAATTCACGCGGGGGCAAAGAAAAAGTGGAGACGATGCAGTATGCATGGCAGTATGCACGTCTCCTTGCAGTATGCTGTGAAATTTACCGTATAAAAAATTAAAATGCGGGTAGTTACAAAAATAATGGGATATCTATGATTGCAATGATATCTTCTGTTTATGATAAAATAAAGCCTTAATGTGTACTGAAATTGCTAGATGAACCTTTCTCACCCCTTATGTCCCAACTAAAGAGCTCTAGTTTCAGAGAATTCAAAAGTATTGCCGGTGTTGCCGTGTTGGGCAACGAGCGAGCAGCTGACCGTGGTCTCCTATCTCAAGCTGGTGGTGTTTTGGCGGGAAGTCTGTCAGTTGAACGTCTGCTGTCGAGTGTGGAGTGTCGCGGTAACGGTCTACCAGAATTTGAATCAAAATGACTACTACTGCAACTTTTGTTGGTTTTACGGACGAAGCTCGTATTAGCAGCAGGTGAGTGAAGTATGCTATTCTGTGTCATGATCCTCATAATCCTCGTTTAATTAGTTAATTACTCGTTCTCATTTTAAATCCTGTTTGTCACTCAGCTTCGTAAGCAGCTGACTCCGTTTCCGGTTCAAAGCTCGGTATGTTATTCTCATTTTTTTCCATATTTTTAAAATTTCTGAAAAGTCACTCGTAGAGAATAGCTTTAGTTCTAATTTTTTCGTACGCTTCAAAATCGTCATTATATAGCGAAATTTATGGGATAACTTATCAGTCCAAGAGACTAAGTTTGTGCTTAGTTCTTGCGCCCAGGTTAGGAGCCGGACATTTCCGCTGAGAAATGCAACATGAAGAACCAGCTTTCATGTGTCTCATTTATTCTATATTTGACAAATGAATATGCTCTTTCTGATCGCTTTATTATAGTTTATTTTTTTCCAATTTGAGAGGCCCGTAAAGAGGGATTCGTTACTGTTCACCGGTCGACTGATGCCTTGTGTGGCCACAAGAATTACGAAAGTTATACATACAATTATACACCTACATGATTATACATGAAGATGATCTCTTCGGTGGATTGAGACAGCTGAAGAAATGAATAGGTTCCCAACATTATCTAGTTTACTTTAGCTGGTGCTGTTCCAATTTTTTTACTTAGTATCTTGCATTTCATTAGCCATTCATGCACATGCAGCGCAGAAAGCACAAAAGTACCACTACCAGTAACTGGTATATCACCAAGCTGAAGTTATCATTCTTTCATATTTATGCTGTAAATGAGAGTTTTGTGGTTGAATTTCCATTGCCTGTTTCAAATGATTAGAATGATTTAGAGCGGTTGGAAATGATTTCCAACCGCTTGAGTTTTCAAACGTGCCGCAACTTCGCAAGTGCCAGTATTATACTATTTTTGTTTGCAAAATTTATTCAGACGTTATTTCAGTAGTTTGCTTCATAGAATGCGTGGTTTGGAATAAACTAATGAAATTTTTGAAGTGCATTGCACAGATTTGGCTGTCGTATCAATGTATCCTCCTCCATCGTAACACAACGATGTTTGAATCGAGTATTTTGGAACCATTTTAATTCCATGAAAGCTTTTCAAATGTCATTCTCACTCAATCAAGTACTTCCAGAATTTCTACTAACTATGGGTGTGGTTTGGACACGAGAGTGAGGGTGCGATCAATACCATCGCCTCGGGCGCACAGTGCAAGGCCTTTACGTCGTCTGGGTTCTTAGTCTGGGCTGTTTTTTTTAATATAAATTATTTCCATTATCTTTGTTCCACGATGATGGTGGATGCAGCTTTTGCTACTTAAATATTAAACCAATAGTTCCACTATAGCTTGGCAGATCGCGGCACAAAGTTCATATTTCTTTAATATTCCTAGAATCAGTAGCCGATTCTATGGAATAATTACCATGCTCTAAATTCTCTTGGATATCACTATCAATATTTACGACTTAAACTCAGTTGTAGAATATAGACCTGAATTTACGTCCTTCAGTGCATGTATAATTAGCTGGGAAATATGGAGGAAATGGTATGGCACACCTCCCGACTTGCGGTGGGTGGACATGGGGTGCGTAGCTGCTATGGCCACCAAGGATCCTTTTATTGACAGCATCTT